TGTGTACATATATAAACGGAAGTCTCGATGTACAAATGATTTGCAGCCTAAATAAAAGAGGTTGTGGCAAATGAATTGAATCGAAATGCCTCAGCAAAATGGCAATAAAATATATACAATTATAATACAAATCGTAATCGTAATAGTAATAGTAATGGTAATAATAATAATAAAAGTACTTTGTAATTATGCGCGAGAGCAATCAGTTGTCAATTGCGATAAATTCCGGACTGAAGTCTTCAATTGAAGTCTTAAAGTTTTTTTTGTCATTGTTGTTAAATGTTGTTTGGTTGTGCGCACTCATGTGAGAAAGTTGTGCCAAATGCAGATTTGATCATAATGATAATGATTCGACCAATGATAGCCCAACAACACTCGAATCTTTTTCTCTGCTTCATTTTTAACTAACTTTACGTGGGGTATTTTGCATTTGTTTTCCTTTTGTGGGCGTTGCAAATGTCAATCTTGCAGTGGGCGGTTTTTATATACATTTTATATATATTTTTTTTAATTTTAGAGTGTACATAATTGTAATGACATCAATTTGCCGAGTTGTTGGTCAAGCAGCCAAACAATTTGCATGACATTTGCAAGAGTTTCCTTGCCTTGAAACAAGCAACAACTAAACAGCAATCACAACCTGATGATTATAAATATGAGAGTGTGTTGTGTGTGTGTGTGTGTGTGTGTGTGAGAGTGTTGCAAAGCAAATGGTTTCAGTTTGTAATGGCTAAGTGTATAACAATGGCATTAGATATGCCGCATATGATATGCTACAGTTTGTATTTTTATAAATTTGTGGCTTGTGTAATCGAAATGCTTTTAAGCCATATGGCTTAAGTCATGTTGCAAGCGCAACGAATGAGAGAGACTGATTTTAATGTTCAACTTCAATTTGAAATTATAATAATAATAATAATAATATATGTGCTGCATCGTTTTGCATAGCTTAGCTTAACTGGCCCAAAGAGTATTCAACTTTAACAAGCTTCCATTATCAGAGATCCGTCTCAATTTGAACGTAGGCAACTATTTGTATTTCAGTTAAGACCACGAAGGGAGAAGAAGAACTTTGTAATACGACTGGAACTTAGAAATGAGGAGAGACAGAGGCGACAACAGAGCTGGTCAGAGGCAGCAGGACTCCGACAAGCCAGATGTATCCTAGGTGGTTATAATCTTGGACGATTTAAGCAAGTTATAACAGCCTTAGGATACTTACCGGTCTATTGACAGGACACGGTAGACTAAGAAGTCACCTAATTAAACTAGGAATATATTCACAGTAGCGATCTGTGCAGGTTTTGTGAAAGAGAGGAGGAATACTCGATGCACATCCTGGCAGAATGTGTCGCCTTAACTAGAAGAAGAGGCAGCCTCCTAGGGATGCTTGTTATGAAGAAGATCTCAACCCAACAAAGATTCTCACATTCGTTCAGAAGGGGGCACAATAGATCGAACAGGTCGCGCTGCAATCCCCTCCTCTACAATAATAAATTCAAAAACCATTTACAAGATTTAAAGTCAAGAATATATTCAAGTGAAATGTAAAGAGTTTTCATAGGGAATATCGTGAATGAAACCCAGGATACCAAACGATCTGTTAGTATTAGAAGAAATAAGCCACTTTAATTATATAAATATATTGTTATTATGAAGATATTGATTTAAATTTAGCACAATAAATGTAAACCATTCCATTAAGTTGCCTTTTATGTGCAATCAAAAAGGGTTGCTGCCACAAATATTATCTTAATGAGTATTTATATATATGTAACTCGGACTGTGCTAGTTGGTTGCTTAATTTAAAATTCAACCCTTTTTCTACGCAACTCACACACAGACAGACAGACAGACAGACAACTTCCTGTTTTAGGTCTGTTTGTGGCGCAGCAGCGGCGACAACTTCATTACACACACATCTGCTTAATCAACAGCAACATTAAACACTAAACTTCATCATCAAGATCAACAGGAACAGCAACAACAACAACAACAACAACTGAAACTGAAACAACCTGCCAACAGCAGGCAACAAAAGCATTTGAAATGCTTATTTTTTAAAGCCCTTTCAGCTCAGACACACCCGCAAGCAGTGTGTCTCTTTCTCTCTCTCTCTCTCCCACACACACCCCCCTCTCTCTCTCTCTCTCTCTCTCTCTCTGGGTCTGTTTCATTTTATGCATAACTTCTAGTGCAAAACAATTTAAATAAAAAGTTGGTAATGGAGCCGCATTTGGCCTGGGAATCTTCTCTCTGCGCCATATGTGGCAACCCTATGTGGCACTTGTTGATGCATTTGTTGTTGTCGTTGTTGTTGTTGTTGGGCAGGCGAAAAAAATTACTGGAGCATGCAATTGTCTGTTGTTTGTTGATGTTGCTGTTGCTGTTGTTGCTTTGGCGCTGATTTAAAATGCAGATTTCTTTTGCCAAGTGGAAACTGGCAGCAGTTTTACCGAGGTTTCCATTGCATTATATGCCGCATAAAATAGCGCATTGATGAGCTTTGCAACTGGAACTACTACACTTGCCACTAAGTACAGCTTCCAACCAGAGTTGTTGCTGCTGCTGCAATTGCAATTGACATTTGTTGGCAGGCAACAAACTAAAATTTACATGCCAAAGTCATTTTAGCAATGAGGTCGCATTTTAATTAGATTCTTATGGAAATGGGGTAGATGGATGGATGCAGCGGGCGAATCTAGAATTGACTCAATGCAAATTATATTACAGCTGCCAGCCGCCGCCGCCAGTTTGAACGTGCCCCTAATGATAGGCCAATGCACAAGTTTGGGAAATGGATTTTTAAAGCGTCACACGAGCTGCATTTATTTAATTCCACACATATAATGGCAGCCATACATTCAAATGTTTATTAGCATAAAAATGCAATCGTATTGCATGTGAAGCGAGCTGCTTTTGCAATGCTAATTTTAATTGAAATCATAAAAGTTGCATATTTTATGCAGAATATTGCATTAAATATATATTAAATATGCGCTCTTAAGAAAATCGTTAAGAATCGAGAATTGAATTGGCAAATTGTAAATAATTATTTAGATTTATGAAATAAGTTTTAGTCTGTTTATAGAAATATAAAAACGGCTAAAAAGGATATGCTAGTTTTGTGCGTATTTTGATTGATTCCTTTAAGAACTATTTAATAGAGTTGCCTGATTTTAATGTGGAATGTCAAATTTCAAAGACTTCTGATCAAATTAAGTTAAAGATATAATAAAGTTTAAAGCTGTTTAAGCAAAATACAGCTTTTATCAGCGCTTATCTAAACTTAATTAAACATAAACGATTTTTTGAATGTGGTTCAATTAACTTGAATTAATTTGACCTCATCAAATTCAGAGCTGTTCCACTTCACTGGTTGAATACCATCCGAATCACAATCTAGAATTCGATTGTTATTAAGTTAAATGCGATTTGTGGACTGGCAATTAATTGTCCAAACTTTATAAACTCATTCCTCATATGTAAATTACTTAAACAATTTTCTTGTTTTTTATGTGTAGCACATTTAATGGCCACAAAAAATTAAAGTAGCGTTTTATCTATTTGAATTTCATCTGTGGCCTCTTTTGTGTTGCACTCTCTTTGATTTGCCGCTTGTCTAGCCACAATGGCAACAAACAACAACAACAACAATAACAACAATTGTGTGTATTAATTTGTTAATGCACTTATATGCAAACTTGGCCACAACAAGACCCACAAATGATAAATCATAATGGACAACGTTAATTAACAAATTGTATTGGCGGCGGGCGTGTGGAGGCGTGGCAAGCGTCCAACCGCAAATGGTCAATTAAATAGTGGTCAGCTTGAAAAACGGACGAACAACTTTGCGGATCGATTGTGATTCAAACAGAATTTGTATTCAATTATTCAATTTGTAGCAAGGCAGCAGAAATAGATAATATTTGCTTAAATTAAATTGTTTTAAATCGTTTCTGATTATTAGTTTTTATTTATTTATTTATTTTATTTAATGTCAATTAAAGTCAATCGATAAACTTATGCTTCTCTTATATTATTCTGCTACTTGCAATACAAATTTAAATTTATATTTAAATTTAATTTATATATATATTTATATATATATTTATATATTTATAATTTAATTTAATTTAATTCGTTAGCAGATTTTAACTATTTTTTGATTTGTGTTACTTAAACTTCAACAAGCTCATAATGCAGCTCCAATTGTTAGTTAGTTGGTTTGTTGAGTTTGTTTTCTTTTTTTGTGCTGTGGGTCAAAGTCTTTGAAAAAATGACGTTGTAAAAGAAAAAGTAAGTCATGCACATAAAAAACACAAAACCAAGAAGAAAAAAATGCTGTTAGCAACAACAAGGCGCATAACTGACAAACGGGTTCTGGCAACCAGATAACAACAACAACTCAAATAAATATAATATTAAAAAAAAAGCCTCGCTTGACTAAATGTAAAAAATGTTAAGTATACCAGAAATTTATTGCGAACATTTCTGTGTTTATACTTTAAATGTAGTGTGAACAAAAAAATAATAATGGATATAAATACATATTAAAAAATGGAGAAGACAGTTAACAAAAAGGAAAATAATGGCAAAAAAACATTGTGAAACAATTTCTCTAATTAATTGTGTTTGTGGCCAGGGCGGTTGCGAATTAGTTATGTTTGTTTATTTTTTTCATTTGTTTTTGTTTTTATTTTTGCTGTTTTTGTTGTTTTTTATAACACATTTTCCGCTTTTGGTTATGCGAATTCGTTTGAAAAGCGCAACGAGCAATGCAATTGCAATTGCAATTGCTGTTAATGGCGGCGCCGCCGCCAAGTGTGGTTGCAACGTACAACTTGCCACCCAGACACTGGTCAAATTGCCAATCGGCGCGACAACATTTTTGAGATGGCAAAACTTTTAGCTAATTTAACGCGCATTTTTAAGTTTTTCCACTATTTTATATATATTTATTTTTTTTTTTTTTAATCTGTTGACAACATTTGCAGGATGCCAGTTGCCATGTTGCCGCACCCAATAACAGCTACAACAACTTGCCGCAGCAGCAACAACATCAGCCAGCCACAGCCACAGCAACAGCCACAGCAACCGTAGCAGCAACACACGAGCAAACTTTAAATGTCGAGGCTGTCATATTGCAAAATCAGGTGGATACATTGCATTGGCAATTGAAGCAGGTGAGTGCCACACAAAAGACTTAAGACACATACTTGACAATCTAGCGTCTAGACTCTAGACTCCGCAATCAGAACCAGATATGCCAGCCTGACAACGTCCAGAATTTACACTGAGCAAAATACAACTTGTTGACTGCACTAAATTGCAACAATTTGTCCTGAACTCCTTAAGCATGCAACAGGCAGAGGGAAGCAGTACCGATCCCATAAGTATTATATATATACTTGATAAGCAAGATCAGCCGCGACTCTATATAAGCATGATCTTAGAGCCAGAGACTTCAAATTTGGTATATGAGTTCTCGTATATCCCGCGCAGCTCAATTTTACTCTATTTTTTATCGATAACTGCGCCGTTTCGCTATTATCGATAGATATCCCTTTCTGATATAAATAAAAGCTAGCAAATGAAAGACAGACTCTTTCAATTGATATATATAACACTGATCTCAGAGCTAGAGACTTCAAATTTGGAATATGATTTCTCGCATATCCCAATATTACTTTATTTTTATCGATAACTGTGCCCTTTCGCTATTATCGATAGATATCCCTTTCTGATATAAAAAAAAGCCAGCAAATGGAAGACAGACTCTTTCACTTGATATACATTGACTTATTATTGATCAACTGTACACATTTCATTTTCATCATTTTCTTACACATATTTTCGCCGAGTGTTGCATCGATACACTCAGCGAGTCTAGTCTCCCCACGACACATAAAACGTGACTTTAAAACCGCCGCCGCTCACTTTATATTGTTAACTATGCCTTACACCTTCCTCAGTCAACCCCCCCTCCCTCCCCCTTCCCTCCTCTCTCTCCTCCTACTGTAATACACTGCTCTCTTTACAGCTGGCACTGCTGCTGCGACCGCTCCAAATACCTTCAACTTCAACCTGTTCCAAGCTGACTTTTCGAGCCATGTCTTCATTCTGGGCAGCTGTTGTTCTCACGCCTAATACACTCATAATTACCACTCAATGCCAAAGAGACGTTGTCATGCTAGCAGCAGTCCCCCCCTCCCATTTCCCCCTCTGCCTTCCCCCATCCATATTTCTGCACGCTCCTCTTTCTACTTGGCTTTCAGCGCCATGTTAAGTGGCTATTGTTTTGTTGTTTGTTGTTTGTTGTTTGTTGCTGCTGCTGTTCTTTTCTTTTTTTCTTCTTCTTAATGTTGGCGCATTTCCTTGATTTGTTTTTCTTTTATTCATTCACTCGTCTTCTTCTTCTGCTTGTGTTGTACGTTATGTGTTTCGTGTTAAGTTGCCCGGCTCCGGTTTCGGACTGCTGGACACTGTCCGACTGTCCAACTGTCCGACTACTGTGCTGGGACTACTGTCCAGCCACATCCACATCCACAATTAGGCGGCACATTCTTTTTAACGCTTAATTATAGACTCCGGTGGTCGTCAAGCTGCCACTTGCCAGTTGCCAGTTGCCAGTTGCCAGTTGTTCAATTCTTTTCTATTCTCTCTCACTCTCGTCTCATTGTCTCATTTGGGTTCTGGCCATTTCCTCGATGGCTTTGAAACTTTACTGTGGCATTCATTTTATATTTCCTCCAACAAAAAGGTTGTCAGACAATCGAACAACTGGAAATGCATAACATTTCACTGAGAGAGACAGTCGTGCACACAAATATATATTTTCCGATTTTGAGCCAAAGATTCCAACTTGAATAATTGAGGAAAGAGTTGTTAAAAGATGCATGACTGGAATTGCTAGTAACTATAAATTCCACTTACCAATCAATAATTTCCCTTTGCCTATCAAATTGTCAACTGTTCTCAAATAATATATATGTATATAGCCGTAGACAGTTGGTAATTAAAAGGCTTATTTGCAGAACAATATAAAAATACTTGAATCAAGCTGTCTGTTAATGAAAACACAAATGTTATTGTAGCTATCAGATATCCAGGCGGTTTTAAAAGATATATATTTATATATATATATATATATTTACACTCATTGCTTAGCCAAAGACTGAGAGTTAAATAAATATGAAAATATTTGCTTTTATTTATACCTTTTGTAAATGCACCTTTTGGGTCTGTTTTGTGGGATTCGTTGTGGGACCCAGGCACTTCCTGTCAAAGCAATTTGGTTCATTAAAAACCCATCTGGAGCAGAGCAGGGCATCCGTTCCGTTTCGCATTGGGAGAGAAAACTGGGCGCATAAATTCAAGTTCCTGCCTTCAATCAATCGGCGTCATCAATCAAAGCGGCTCAGGGTTTTGTGTCTCGTGCTTGTGGCGTGCGGCATGTGGCATGTGGCATGGGTTGGTGTCTGGTCTGTCTTAGCCCACGCTTTATTCGTGATTTGTTTGCGCTGTGTTAAATGAAGTTGTTATTGTTGTTGTGATTGCTGTTGTGATTGTTGTTGCTGTTGCTGTTTTTTTTGCCAGTTTGTTGCTGACCGCCTTTGGCTGCAGTCTAACCCAGTTTTTGCCTTGACTAAGTTTTCCGGCGGCATTCCAACCAGCAGAGAAAGAAGCGCGTACCAACAACAACAACAACAACAACAGCAGCAGCAACAACAACAGCAACAGCAAAGTGTGGAAAATATTTATCACTGATTATATTGCAATTTTCTGGCCACCTCGTCGACTACTGCTGCTTTCCTTCGATTGAGGCGCATTTAAACCGCATTAAATCGAAATGAAAGCGTAAATATTTTGCCATCGTGGCTGCTGCTGTTGTTGCTGTTGCCACTTGATGCATTATAGAATCTGAAATCAGTTTGTTGATTGAAAGTGTTGCAATGTGTGTAAACAGCAGCAGTGTCTTTTGGCCAGCTATGTGAAAGTTGAAGGTCAACACGGTTCAAAGATGGCTTAGAAACAAACAAAAGAGAAAAAACAATATACAAACAGTGGAATAGGATTAAGCACAAGCTGCGCTTACATATTAACCAGGTTAGTTGCCAAGCAAATGACCCAAATATTTCCGAGTTGTAGTTTGTTATTCTCAAAAGATCAATTAGAGCCGCAACAGCAAATCTTCTTTGGTAGCATTCTTAATGGAACTTAAACTCAGTGATTTGGTTGAGTTAACTTTAACTTTAATTTGTTTTGTTTTAATTTGTCTTTTATGGTTTTCCGGTACAGCTTTATATAAACTAAAACTGAAACTGCAAACTGATGTTGTTGGTCGGTCAAAAACAGCCATAAAACTAAGCAAATTCAAATTGATTCGCATTGAAAACAATGTTTTTTTGTCTGATTATAATAGACATAATTATAATTGAATTAAATTAACTGAATATGTATTTTGTTAATTCATAAATTCGCATAAATCTGCAAAATAGCTGTAAAATAGCTGCAGCACTCGTAACTGCCATCTTCGATCCAATAAACACGCAGCAGGAAAACTTTAAATGGCAGCTGCGCTACCAAACGGAAAAGCCAACACCAACAGCTAAAAACATTAGCAACAATTTCAAAGACCACAACAACAGCAACCACAACAACAACAAACATTTTGTGTCTTACGTAATCAGTAGACGACTGGCCAAAACCAACAGCAACAACAGCAGCAACAACAACTGCAGCAGCAGCAGCAGCAGCTTAGATTGCTGCTGCCCAATTGCAATTGCCAACATTTTTTTTTTTTTGGTTGGTGTTGTGCCTCATTTGGGCGTCGTGTGAAGTTTTGTTGGCCAATTTTGGCCCGACCGGGCCAGGCTGTGGCAGCAAGTGGGTGTGGCACCATTTTGGTCAGGTGGCATCTTTACACTTTGACTTGCCAATTTGGCAACGCCTCAAAACAATCAAACATTTACCACTGATGCCTGTTAATTAAGCCAGCCAATTTTGGTGGCCTAAATACGGCAATTTTGTGTTGGCCACTCAACACATTTGTGGCACACAGACCAACTTACAAGCCACAGCCGACAGACGACAGACGACAGCCAAACATTTGTTGTGCAGCAAATATGTCACTTGAAAGTGAAAGTGTTTCAACCAAGGTGGCGGGAGGAGTTCAAATGGGAGACTGCTCCACAAAATGCCACAGCAAAATGAATAGAAAATGTTTGATAAACAAATTAACATAATCTATAAATTGTTTATAGATTACTATCAAATACCATAAATATCTATGCACATTAACTGTTTATTGTGGCAACGACCTTGCCACCAAGAGGAGAAAGGTGAATGAAATGCAAGCAAAGCAAAGCAAAGCAAAGAAAAGCTAAGAAAAGAAAAGAAAAGTCAGAGAGAATGCGTTAGTGCATTGAGAAAACAGTTAAAATAGAAAACCAAACAAAAAAAAAGATATTTCAGTTTAGAAACTGCGCAAGAGAATCGCATTAATAGAAAGACAAAATTGAAAATTAAAAATTAAAAATTGAAGAAATTTGCATGGAAAATTACTCAAGATAATTAGCATAACAAATTGCGGCAAATGAATTTAAAATAGCAGCAGTCGAAGCGTAAAATGATATCCCACCTAAACAAAACTGAACAGAATAGAATAGAATAGATATATATATATATATATATATATATGCCAAGACATTACTAGACAGGGCGACAGGGTTATACAATCGAAACTGGAGATTAACAACAGGCATTATTATGTAAGCTTCTCCATTGCGGTTAAATTGCATAATACGTCAACAATTATTATGAAACTTGGCTAACAAACACTTAAATAACAAAAGATGTTGCTTATTTTACTCGAGCTGAGAATCTTGTGTTATAATTATGAATAGTTTGCATACAATTTGAGAAGAGACCGTTAAGAATTCGGTATCGGTTTGAATTGAATGTGGAACAGCAGCGATATTCTCGGAGATAGATCAGATTAGATCATAAATAGGGATGAATAAATAAAGAAATGAACTCAATTTTTGCATTTACTTTCAGACGGAAACCAATTGTGAAATGTATCGCGCTGTTATGGAGGAAGTGGCACGCTTCTTTGAGCGCTATCAGCAGCAACAGCAACTGCAACAGCAGCAGCAACAACAGCTGCAGCAGCAACAGCAGCAACAGCAACAACGTCAGCCACCATCGAATCGTTATAGTCTGATTGGTGTCGGTGAGCAAATCTCCCGCTCAAAGAGTCTGCATCATGTGGTGCAGGGCGTACAGAGTGATCCGAATGGTTGTGTCGACCATCCCACTGGCGGTGGCAGCAACAACATGAGCAGCTCAGCTGCCAGCAACTCTGCCTCGTATTTGCGTGCACGCAGCAGCACAAATCTGATGCTCAATAAATCGATGCTGACAATGAATGAGGAGCACAGCTACGAGAGCATTGCACCAGCGGGCAGCTACAATGCCTTCAAGGACTTTACCTGGTAAGTGCCAGCATCGAATTGGCTTCAGTTCGTTTGGTTTATATTTATATTTGTTGCAGGCGACGCTCACCCAAAAAGCTGGGCGGCTGCAAGACGCGTCTCTCCAGCGCTGAAGCGGCCGAGGAGAAGCTCAACCAGGAGGCGTTCCGCTTGGCGCGCACCATACGCAATCTGCTGCACACGTCGGAACAGCAGCCGGATCTTACCCAGCCTCGTCACTCGATGGCCGGCGGTGTTGGGCATCGTCTTGGCAAGCATCAGCTGACCAACAACTCTGTGCTGACAATTCACAGCCCACCGCTGCACAATTCGACCAGCATAGATGCTAATCCCGGCAAGAACGATAACAATAACAACAACAACAACAATAATATCAATATCAACAGCAACGGCAGCAACAGCAATGCTCCCAGCAGCGCTGAGATGCTATTCTTACGCTCGAATACAATGCGAGATTCGCGTCTATCGCTGCGTAGCTCCACCGATAGCTCTGTGCATTCCACCATCTCCTCGACGGCTTCATCCTCATCGAAAATCGAAACCGATGAGGAGATCACAGCCAACAACAACAACAGCAGCATCAGCAGCAACAACAACAACAACAACAAGCCAATTAAACCAGCTGGCAATGGTTCCAGCACAGAGGATGAGAGTGGATTTAGCTCCATCAGCTCCTTTCATGATGTCGGCCTGCCGCTTAGCTCGACGCTAATTGCCGGCCGTCTGTCGCTCTCCACGGAAAGTCGCAACTCGACGCTGAAGTCGGCTCTGAATGCGGTGGGTGTGCCACTGCAACCACTGCAAGCGCAACCACTACAGCAACCAATGCAGCCACAGCACTCGCCACCGCAGCAGCCATCGCAGTCTCCAGCAAAGACCTATCGCAATGCCAATCGTTATCAGCGCTTCTCCACGCTCTCCAACGAGGATGCAGCTGCTGTGCTTTGGGTCTAGATGAAACAATTTCATTTTCTCAAAATTGTACACCTTACAACACCACCACCAGCAGCCCCCTTCCAGTGGAACTCTCCGTTTAAGTTAAGTTTTAGTTATTTGTGCCTTTCGTTAAGCTCTTTTAGCTGTTGTCTAAGTTAAATTGCAACATTTTTCGAATATGTACGATATGTTTTTGAAACCGCCTTTATTTTATAATTATGTATTTTAGTTTTCAGTTTCTTATCTCGAATACGCCGCATTTTTACATTTAACATTTTTGTAAAGTTTTAAGCTTAAGTTTTGCAGTATTTATACAATTTTGCAGCTCTCTAAAAATAAAAGTAGATTTAAAACATGCTTCAAATGTGTTTGTAATCGATTTCGAATTGGGTTTTTTGTTTTTGCTATCGATATGACTTGCAGGTTTTTAGTTGAGTACAGGGTTGTCCTCAAATCACATAGCCTTGGTTTTGATTGCCACATGTCCCAGCTGGGGCATTCAATTGGCAGTAGTCCTCGTTTCGGCACGCATCATTTCGCTCGTTACTTTTCGGTTCTTTTCCGCAAATATTTCGGCACACTCTGCCCTCACCGCTTCATTCACAGCGTTAATTATTTGAAAGGAAATTGATTACCAAAAAAAATAAATAAATTAAATAATTCATCAAATTCATCAGCATGGCCAGCGCCCAAGCGGAAACCCTTGAGACTACGGTCTTCAAACCAAATACGTTTCCGGATAGTCGCCTGGTCCAGTCGGCTCACGATGAGAGCAATAATAACGAGCCTGTTACGGTGCCCGAGTATGAAAATGAGCAAGTCTACAAAATTGCATACAAACATCCGCTTGAACATGTATGGACGCTGTGGTATCTGGAGAATGATCGCAACAAACACTGGCAGGACATGCTCAACGAAATTACTCAAATCGACAGCATCGAAACATTCTGGGGGTGAGCCATTGAAGACATGCACACATAACAAATTTGTAAGCATCTCCTCCTTAGCTTATACTACACCATTAAAACACCGTCGGAGCTGAAGGCAGGCAGCGACTATTATTTGTTCAAACATGGCATACAGTTGGTAGCGCTAAATTTGTTGTATAAAATCGACTAATTACATTTGATTGCACTGTAGGCCCATGTGGGAGGATGCGGCTAATATAAAAGGCGGTCGTTGGCTTTTTACAGTTGGCAAGAGCGCCAAATATGCCATCGATCGCATCTGGCTGGATATTTTGTTAATGATGGTGGGCGAGTCCTTTGAATACGCCAGCGAAATCTGTGGCGCTGTTGTCAATATACGCGCCCGGAGCAATAAGATATGTAAGCATTTTGAATACGTACATTGGAAATGCCTAATTTCCAAATTTCCAAATATTTTGTACTTGCAGCTGTTTGGACGGCCAATGGCTCTAATGAGTCGGCCGTTTTAGAAATTGGCTTCAAGTTGAAAGCGTTATTGCGTTTGCAATCGCACAATCTTCAATATCAACTGCACTCGGATGCGTTGTCTAAAATTAATTCTGCAGTTAAGTCTGTATATAGTCTATGAACACAGTTATTACATTACGTGTGTGAGATGCAGGTGAGACTGGTGGTGATAATCGTACTCAAGAGTAATTCATTGTTTTGATTTAGCCCAAAATTGTATTGATAAAATTTTAGTAACTGCATAAACACAAAAATTTTGATTCAATAAAATTATTGCAAATTGTCATGGGCAATAAAACACTTTTATTTACATCAATATTCAGCATACCACAAAAAAACTAAAGAAAAAGGAAAATTTGAATGAAAATTTTATATCATAGTTCGAATATATTATCTCTTAAACATCATATCATTATCATGCTCTGCTTACGATACGACTTTGGGCTGTTCGCCTGCCTCAAACAAATTGAATGGATTTAACATTAATTGTTATGCATATTTTTAAAAAAATTTACTCAGTAAACATTCACAGCTTTTGCAGTGTAGCGGACAAGCCGAACAAAAATGAAATCGAGCCGATTTTCATCGACCAATCAACCAATCGATCGATCGATCGTTTTTAGGGCGTGAATGCGATTTCAAGTCACTAATACGATTAGTTACATTATACGATAACATAGAACATACAGTAATAGATATATAGTAAAGTATATAGATAGAGATTCTTTTTTTTTTAGCACTTTAGAAAGAACTATTTACAATTACTCATAGAATTGAGGATTACATAATTCATCGAGATTCGCAAACGCTTCAACATTTGCGAGCGACAATGGCGACAAAGATACTTAGAAAAATATTCTAAAATTACGACCTTAAACTGATTGGACGCGTGTGTTTTTTATGAGATTACAAAATTTTGAAAGTATGAATTACATTTATGATTATGTGTGGGGGCACAAGCGAGCGTTCTGTTTTGTGTGTGCGTGCGTCAAGACATACTTTAAGCCTACACGAAACTGATTTAAATGGAATACACTTATTGTAGTTCAGCATTAGGCTCAAACTTTGCTGGCTAAATGCGTCCAACGACGGCCTTGTTTTTACGTGTTGGCTGCACCGAGAGCGGAGGCACGACCAGCATCTCGGACTGCGATGATGGTGAACTGCTGCGCATACTGCTGCACTCCTCATCAGCTACTTCCTACAATAAGCAATCAATTAGTAAATATACATCAGACCTCAGATTTTTAGTCAGCAACTCACATTGATGTTGGTGCAGCTGGCCAGGCGCATTTGTGCCAGCTGCGAGGCGGGCGTTAGGGAGTTGGTGCTGCCAAATGGCGATGTCATCATTGTGGAAACTGCTCGTTTCAGCTTATTGGGTGTTTTATTAAAGGAAAAGGCGCGTCCAACCTGGCAAAATGTATAAGAAATTGCTTATATGATATGATTATGTGGTAAACTGTGAGGAAACACACCTTGAGACGCGTTTTGGCCGCCAGCTTGAATGCCTTACTCAATGTGCTGACATTTACATCGCTGATGTCTACTTCCAGTTCCAGAGATGTGCGACTCATCAGCATTTTGTCCTGGTAGAGAACGACAGCATCGGTCTTAGTATTTATCTTAGTAGAGAAGTGACTCTTTACTTACCGGATCTGTGCGACATGTATGCGCAGTAATTTGCATGCACAGCTTTTTAAGATATACCAGCTTGTCCGTCTCCTCGTCGATGATGCTAAACGTGTATAGCTTCTCCTTTTCGCCACGCTGCAGCAGACCAAAGGCGCGCGGACTATCTGTGATGTCGATGACAAAGCGTATCGTATTCAGCGATATCAGTTTAATGTGCTTATGCGTCTTCGCCGTGCTCGGCGATTTGGCCGTGTTGAATCCGCGTGAGCGTCGCTTGCACAGCTCTATGGAATCGGAAAACAAGTAGAGCAGCAGGCTATCGCCACGTCCACTCAATGAGTCAGAGAGCTCGTTGACCTCACATTTGGATATGAAGCTGCGATTGGAGCTAACCAAATGCGCTGGACAGCCATCGATATCATTGAATATGTCAAAGATGGCCATGCGTGACTCTGTGCGACGTTTGTCCTCGTTAATGTGCAGCGTCACCTGCTTGATGGCCTTCAGCGCTTCCTCGAGACGCGCATGATCCTTATTACTGTTGCTCGTATGCTTTAAAATATCATTGAGCAGTAGACTTATGCTAGGTAAACGCTGTACGGGTCTTATCATCAGATCTTGTAGACTCTGACGGCCACACTCTGGTTTCGTCTGATTGATCTTGAGGAAGGCGTGGAAGCGTGGATATTCGCGATCACAGTAGAGCAACTGTTCTTTCATCTGCTCATAGAAGTTGACATAGGGCGGGTAGGCCTTAATCAGCTCGTCGCGATGCTGTATTATTATATCGCCAATGAGGCAATCTTCACGCCAATTGGCATGCAGCTTGCGCAAATGCTCCAGCATGCTCTGGTGCACCTCATGAATGGGCAGAAAATTTCCAAATATGGTCTTGATCTCTGATTTATTTAGCAGCGGATCATTCGTCTCTGCCAGCTCCTCCAGTTTATTCTTGAACAGCTAAAGGGGAGATGGAGATGGACAAGAGATTTAATAATATATTACAAAGATTAATTGCGGAAACTTACATTTAGTATGGTATCCATTATGCCCACATAGTTGGACTCTGTGGTAAAGAAGTCCATAAAGTGATTGTAACGCATGGATTTTTTGGTGGGCGTCGCTTCGGTAACCTCTGGTTCCACATGCAGCAGTTTATCATTCTCAAGCTTATCCGGACTGGTCGTACAGTCAAAAAAGCTATTCGAAACGGATAACAGACCAGCGTCCGATACCGATGAGCGTCGCTTGCCCGAACCCAAAGGTGTCCCCTCCAACTGTATGCGCTGTGAGAAACGCTTGCGTTTCCGCTTATTGAGCGTAATTGGCAGCGAATCGCGACGATCTGTGCTCGGCGTATTCGTAATGCTATCCAAATACTGCGGGGAAATCAACAGAGTTTTATTTATGATATAGCTGAAGAGAATTGAAAGGGTGTTTCTTGCTGCTTACATCGCCAAACAGATAATCCATCTCGTTGGCATAGCCATTCTGGATTGTATACCAGAACCAGTCCGATTTCAGAATGTGCGTATTATGATTCTTAGGCTCCGGCTTCGACACAGTCGTGTGCTCATCAACAACCTGATAGAGAGGCGAGTAAATTAGATATTGTTCATATATTGTTGTTATTGCCCATAAGTGGGGCAATAAAACGATATGTGTGATGATGATGATGATATGTGTGAAGAAATGTGCGAAATGTGATGGAATAAAAATGTTTTGTTTGTTGCCAAAATCATTTGTACAAGAACTTAATGTTAATCAAGCGTCTAACTAATTAAATCTATTGTACAGTTCACAAACGCAGCATCAGCAGCAGCAGCAGCAGCACAATAAATTATTCATTTAAATATTTTCTGTTTAGGAATTCTGAACATGAAGTCGATTCCGTGTTCAATAATCCGAAAGCAAAAAGGCCAAACAAAACATTTTTAATGCACATTTTTGGCAACACTTTGAAACGGGCATAAAAATCTTAAGCAAAAACAAAAATAATAAAACAAAACAATAAAATTGAAGTAGAAAATGAAATGAACAAATTGTTTATCTGGAAATTCCTGACATCGAATGTACTGAAACATTTGTGCAAATATTTGTTAGTCTATTGAAATACTTTTGTTGTTTCTTTTCTTTTTTTTTTTAATAACTAAAAAACGCTGAGCAGAGCGTCATATAGTCTGTCTTTATGGATAATATGTTTCGTCTTTGGGAATTTCAATAAAGCATTTTTTTTAACATTTATTCAAGCGGAACGAATGCTGCTATTCGTGAAGCAAAATAAATGTTTATCAATATTTATTGTGCTGCTTTTTCTTTTGATGTTGTTGTTGCGTGTGATCGGAAACGAAAGGAACGGAAAATAAAGCGAGTATTATTACAGAAGGAGAAGAAATAAAAACACCGCACCCAAATTAGGCAAATGACGTGACTTAAACTACAAAACATCACCATTAACAATTAACATGTAATTTCATTTAATTTTCCAAAAGTTGTAGACGATGGGGAGCATTAAATTTCTGAAAATTGGCAATTGGAAAAGAAAATGTGGAAAATGCGAGTCGAATACATACAGATGATAATTGATTTTAATAATAAAAAAATATCTAGCACAAAATGTTTCAATGCAAAATGAATTACAGAAGCTGCCAGTTACAGATGAAGTTCAAAAACTGCCCAAGTTCAGTTGAAACGTTATCAGAGATTAAGAACGCTTTTCAAGAGCCAAATTTGATTTCAAAGCCCTATCAACAGATGAAATGTTTGCCGTTTCAAAGCGTTTTCAAGTTTAGTTTGTGGATATTTATCCAGTTAAAAGTACCATTTGCATGGGCTCATCTGCAGCAGGTGGCGTTGATGCTCTCAGCGCGGGAGCAGCGTTATCAATGATTTGCACAGCTGTTGATGATGATGTTGCTGTCGAAGATGATGATGGTGTGGTGGTTGATATCGATGAGGTGACTTGCATGGGCAGCATGGATGTGGCAGCCACAGAGCAGGCAATTGTGCTGGTTGCTTCATTAACTTGTGTATTTGCATTGGAAGTGCTAGCATGATTTGATGAGAATGTCAGGGAGCAGCTTAAACCACTGGCCACCGGGCCGAAGAGCCGTTTGGCTGTCTTCTTAGTAGCCGAGGCACTGCCAGCACCGAAACGCTGCAATGGTGCCTTGGGCGTCTTGAAGCCACTGTCCAAGAGACCACATTCGGGCGTCGCCTCGCCTCGCTCCGCACGGCGACTGCTGCTGCGCGTGATGCGATCGCAGATGTTGCGCAATGCCTTCACCGGCTTCCGTATTGACTCATTCAGTGTGCTATTAATGCTGGCCAGCGAGCAGACAGAGTCATCCGCCTCGATGGTCTCGCTGCCCAGAAACGTTGACGTATCGGCGACAGCAATCGAGCTGCGACGCGTGCGCAGTGTTTTAATGATGGGCGTGCGATCGGCCACAAAACTCATGGAGCGCTTGAGGGTGCGCGTTATGGACCCAGTGCGAATAAGTTTCGGTTTCTTGGTGCTGGCGGGCAAGGCAAACGAGTCGACAGACATTAGCGAGACACTGTCGAAGCTGTCACGTTTTCGCTTCAGATCATTCTCGATGCCGGTTTCCATCAAATCATCCGTTTCCATGTCGCATTCGTTGATCGTCTCAATGGTCAGCAGTTTGACAGGCGCCTTTAAAATGGGCGACAGACTTTCGGTGTGCGATTGAAATTCGCATGGGGACAGCGGGCTGCCATTGCTGGTTGTCGGAGTGCCGGCAGTTATAATTATGCTTGGCTGTTTGCTGCTCTTTGGCGTGCTGGCCTGCACATCCTCCTCATCGGCCAAGTCGTCTGGCAGCGGTAGTTCCTCCGGCTGTTGTAAATCGCCTGCTTCCACAAACAAACGTGGATCAAAGTGCAGGTCATCCAGTTCATCGCTTTGATTCTCCTTATCAGATGCAGGCTGTTGTTGCCCTTGTTCCTGTTGTTGTTGTTGCTGCAATGCCGCATCGGCAGCAGCATCTGAGTTGCTAGCTGTTTTGGTGGGTGTGGACTTGGGAGTGTTGCTGCTTAGTTGGGCTTTAGTGTTAGTGCTGTGGTTAGTATCAGTGCTAGTTGTGCTAGTGCTATTGCTAGTGCTTGTAAGAACAGCGCCCGTATTGGGCATAACCTGCAAGATATATATATATACATGATATTTAGCCATAAGACACACAATAACAAAAACAAAAACAAAACGCATATTGAAAGCCAAATGCCAGTGAATTGCATGCAATTACAACTAAAATGGGAATATGGATGGTGGATATAAATGGCCCATTATGGATGGAGATGGGGGAGGCGGAAGATTGATAACTCACAACATGCGAGCACTCGGGATCATCCAGTTCGGCACAGACGCCGCCATTCTCCAGCAACACATCGACCATATGCTGATGCTCCTCGGCGGGAAAGCCAAAGAAGCAAACCTTCTGCCCCTCAAACGCCTTCAAGCGATGCGCTTTCGTGAAGCTATCCTGCGTCGCCTCAAACTCCAATGAATCGCGCGCCGACCAAGCGGCATAAACCCAAGCGGGACGCACCACCGTCAAGCGAAAGGTTTTGGCGTATCTTTTTTTGGTGAATGATGGATAGAAAATCAGTTAATATTTATAGCTACTATTTGTGAGGAGTAGCACTGTTAGTTAAGTAAATTGTATTGTATACTTACTGATACTTTTCACCGCCACTGTGATTGCATATCAGATGCGTGGTCTTTGTGTTCAAATCTTTCTTGATGCAGCCACCCATGGAGTGTATGAGATTCACGAGTCTTGTCTGCCAATTGGAAATGTATTATTTAGTTGCTTACACAAAACACTGCATTGCACATTGAATTGATTGAAATTTGGAGCAACTACTCACCAGCTCATCCTTCTTGCGTATGCCGGTGAAGCAAGTGACTACGCCGCGCATTGCATAGTTGTAAATGGGCCGAGTGTTCTGGCCCAGTGTCTGCTTCATCTCTGCCGCATACTTCAAAGCGGGTGGGCCCAAAATGCTGCAATGCCACCGCGAGAAGGAAGAAGAATGGAGAAAAACGCAATTAAATATTTATGTGGCACACTTTTGAGTTATGCAAGGCAATATCATCTCTATTTGTGTATCTCCTATTTAATGACCCAATTGACCTTGGCCATTGCGGTGCTGTATCAGGCATATTTCTTAAATTATTTCGAATCAACCAAAGACTATAAATCGGTTATAAGCGCAGCATTCAATTGCAGCTAGAACTGAAACTGAAACAGCAACAGCAGCTGTCAGAGCAGCGCCGTACGTACGATCAGGCAATCCACGAATGACTGCAATTTAACAATCAGAAATCGACTCAGTTGCGATGCGACGTTGCCACACAGACGCACATGTGCCTGTGTGTACACACATATATACAAACACTGACGACACCAGGTGGCAATTGCTGGGCGCTTGTGTAAACAACAATCAAAATGCCCGACGAATTCTCACTGAACTTTAACTTGAGCAGCCCCCTCCACCAACTACCCACAAGCTTAATATCCAACACAACCCACACCATCAACCACAACTCATGCGGTGATCAAATTGTTTAAGGGCTTTTTGTTTATGAGACTATATGGCCGGCAGGCAGGCAGGCAGATGCCAATTGAGCTGACTGTACTGCACTGTACTGTACTGTGTAGGACGGAGTCTCTACAAACCGGAAGTTTTTATAAACAAATCAATCGAGCGGAAGTGGGCGGATGCTGCAGACTGCTCAAATGCCGCCCAGCCTGCCTGCAGATGTATTTATGATATTAATATTATTATTATTTTTTCGTATTTTTCTTCGTTTTTTTTTAAATTGAGCGTGCCCAACAGTAGTACAATATTGAAATTAATTTATGTACATTTCATTCATCATTCAAGCATGCGTTATTTGTGCCTGCCACATTAAATGGTTGAGTAACAATGAGCGATATCAAAAAAATATATATAGATGTATCTGTGTAAATATAAATAGCAAGTACCAGGAAACATCAGTCTGGCAAAAAGATTCTCGGAACGCGTACGAAACATACGAAGTAACTCAAGATTGATATGGGACACACTTAAATTGGGGAATTGGGAATAATATTGATTTTTGTATATGATATCTCCAATAAGTAAGAATCATAAATACTCAACTCAAATTCAAGCAACTCAGTTCTATTTCAATTTTAATTCTCTAGCTGCCTGACACATATAATAATCATAATCTTTATTTCTTTTTGTAAATCACACACGTATTAGGGGGGGATTAACCCATAAAGTTGACCAAAATATTTGAAATTTCTGTATGACACAACACGTTTGTTGCTCCATTGTCAATTGGCATTATCTCAGACTCCATTACACAATGCATTCCATTCGAGTTGAGTTGAGTTCGAAAACTGAATAGAGACGCATTTGGTAGAAACTTAAGACTTGTTCCAAAGCACAACTAATCCGCACTTAAATTTCACTTGATAAGGCGAGACTTCTCACAGCTTTCACACCATACAAAAGAAGACAGTTTGCACTTGTTTCACACACCGAGGCATTTCCCACACACACACAAATCACGTCCCCCCCTCTTACCATAAATGATAAATTTCCATATGCAGCAATATATATTTCAACGAACGTTAACTTTTATCAGCATAAGCTGAACGAATATATATATTTATATATATATTTCCTTTATTTTATTGTGTTGGGTTGTGGAAATCCGAATAATGTTGCGATGATTCTAACGGCACAACTAAATAAACTCAACTGTTGCGTTGTTGTGGCCTGGGGAAAATGATTGAACCAAATGCCGAACGACGACGGCGACGGCTGCTTTGGAATGAAACAAATTGTGGAAATAGAAAATGCCACTTGATGGCACACATACTCAAGTGTCACACACACACACATACTCACACATACTGACACACACACACAGACAAGTGCTGCTGTAAGCTGCGCAAACATTTGAACGGTAGAGAAACTCACGGGCCAGATGACAAAATGGTAAACAATGCGCATAGCTGAGCCAATTTTTGGTTAAGGGGATGTCTCCGTGACACATGGATTTATGCAAATATATATATTTTTGTAGGAATTCCAAATGGGAAAACAAGGAAAACCCATGCGAAAAGCGCTTAGTCAAAGCTAAAAAATGCGCAACGCGTGCCTGCCACCGATCTGGGAGCGCTGAAATTAGCTATTTATGACCTTCACAAAATAGACGACGGAGAAACCATGGAACAAGAACAAGAACAAGAACAAGAAACTTGTTGCTAGTAAAGTGCGCTGATCTTTCGCCATATAACCACTCGAACTTTGCGAGGGTCAAAACTATAGAACAGTCAATGACAGCGATGCGATGAGTTCTTCTTTACAGTCAGAATGATTCCACCCAACGCCGCCTCCTCCTCCTCCTCCTCCTTCACACACAATTAATTTGCCATACTGAAACTTATAAATTATATACATACACGCATACTTTATGCATATATCAAAAAAAGAAAAACCATAATAAAAATTATATGTATATATTTATATTTTCTGTTTCTCGCAATGCTATTTTATTTATTTTGTTCTCATCTTTTGAATATTTTCTGTTTGTTGTTGTTTTCTTCAAGAATTTCCGACTAGCTGGCGACGCTTTTCACACTTTCTACGCATCTTGACATCGTGTTCCATATAAAAAAAACACATTTTTTATAGAATCTTGGCGCCGAACGATTGCTGCAATATGACGCAACCCCGCCACCCACCAACGCCCCCTCTCTCTCTGTCTCTCATACTCTATCTCAATCTGTACCGAGAAACCACCTCTTCCATAAAAATCCAAAGAGGCAAACGATTCATTTCGATTTCATTGGAAATGCTCTACGAAATTTGGCTTAACGAATTCCTCAAAGAAAAATTGTCAAATGTGAGTTGTCATGCAAATTTTCTCGTCGCTTTCCTTCATGAATTTATTTTTGTGTGTAATTTGTTTTAGTCGATGAATGAAAGCGCCCCAAAATAGGCAATGTTCTCAAAGAGTCAACGCATTGAACTCAACTGACACTTATGATTCAGTTTAGCTATATATAGGAATTAGTATACAAATTGCAGAAATACATATGCTTATAGTCATGCTGGTGAATAGCAATTAACTTTGTGGCATCATTTGTGTGTGAGTTTAAGTGGCTGTTAAGTATTGCAAAATTCTCAAGAGCCATTCAAGGAATTTTCTCAATAGCTGATCCAATTATGTCCCACCCACTTCCTCCATCCACCCACTTTGCATTTCGCGGAAAGCCCCAATTGGTTAACATTAATTTATATATATATATATATATATGTTTACTTGTATGTAATACTTAAATTGCATTCTTTTTCTGAGAAAAAACTGTATAGTTTGATAGCCTTCGTTGGAGGGAGTTGTAACGATATATTTTCTGCAATTTATTGCAAATATTTGATGTGCGATAATAATTGCTTATTTCCAGGAATATATAGCTGACTGCTGTGTTTAATGTTAGTCCTTGTGGGATATTTTGCAATTGCATTCATAGTTAATCATATATAATCAATTTGCATTAAATGTTGACGAAAACTTGACAAATACGAGTGACTTGCGTTCTTGCCACTTCCTGCAACTGAAAACAAATATTGTTGTCCACATAACATCTAACTAATTAAGCACTATTTTTAAGCTTTATGATCAATTTATTTTGAGCGAAATGCCATAAAAAATCATCCACTTATATATATTGGCTAAAAACAATTTTATGTTCACAATAATAGAAAAAAGAGAAGAAAAAAAAATGAGAAAAAGAAAAATCGAAATGAATAGAAAACAAAAAAGATTCGAAACATGAATGAAATTTTGGTAAATAAATAATAGGTCTGTCTTTATGTTGGATGAGGTGAGTTGGCTCTTCTAGCTTCCGTTTCGTTGCTGTTATTCCTTACAATATTTTGGGCAAAAACAAAAATACAAATGTTGAACATGAAAGCGTAGCTGAACAGGCAGTAGAATCATCACCCAACTCACTCCTCCCACTGCCCACAATTTGCAAGCCCCACAACAAACGCATTTCCTGACCTTGAATATGATCGTAAATAAATATATACAACAAAAAAAAAAAAGAAGAGTGTTAATCGCTAATGAGGCCTGTGCATGTTTTTTGTGTGTTGTTAATGTTGTTGTTTCAATTGTTTTTGGTGTTTCATTTGAATGTTGCCATTACTGCGCAGCGGGCAAATTAATCAAGCGTGGCGAATTATGCCGCAATTCTCAAATTTGACAACAATTTGTAGCCAAAATGTGCAGAAAAACATTGGTAGAAATGCAGCAGTTGCTGCTAACCTAGCAGATACCCTGTACATAGATAAACTAATAAACAACTAAACTTTTCTAAACATTTTGCTTTAAATTTCCCTTTTTCTTATTTAGGGAAAAAGAGTATCTAATACTGAATTTACATAATAATAAATAAATAGCTTTTTTTTTTGTTTTTTATATTTAGGGAAAAGCATAATAAACCAAGATCTAGAGAACAGCTATAGCCTTTATAGATGGTCGTCTTTATTGTTGATATAAATGGACAAACAAATAGATATATATATATACATATATATGAACTCTATTTGATCAGATACGGTTACAGGGTATGTGATATTGGGAAGAATGGATTGTCAACGTTTTGGCGCTGTCAATCTACCGCAACTGTCTGAGTGTGGTCCGTGTGGCCTGAGGGAGTCTATTTTCCCGGGGGAAAGCGAGGGAGGCAGGCAGCCAGCACATGCGTATGTCTCAATTTCAAATTTGGCTGCTGCTGCTCCTCCACTCGTGGCATTCCCTGTGGCGACATGCCGTGTCTCATCCAATTTGGTGACATTTTTTTCAAATATATGCGTTTATTTATAGATATAGATGAAGATCTAGCTGTGGCTCTAGTTGTAGCTAAATAGTTACTTACCATTCCTTTTGTTTGTGTATGGCATCGAAGATCTCGTCCTCGAAGTCCGTCAGCACGTATAGGGTGCGCCATTCCATATCGTTGATGATGTCCAGACCAGTCTCCGATTGAATGACGGGCAGGCCAAAGCTCTCGGCTGCCTGCAGCGTGCCTTCATCTTTACCAGCCTCGCCCACCAGACAAATGCGCGTGGGCATCTTCGACATAATGGACATTTCTGCACGAACGCGAATAGGAATAAGAATTGAGAATGGAAATGGGAATGGGAATGACAAAGGCATTAGTACTGATGTTCTTGTGCCTCTATATATAGCTTAAGATTATTATAATGTTTAAGTGCTCAGTGCTCAGTCATGAGACTCAGCGTATGGATGCCATTCACAGTATTCGACTCTAATATGCTCTGTAACTAAACTTAAAGATATTTACGTAGATAAGCTGATTACCCAAATAATCAAGCAATAATGTTTTATTTAGATTTATGTCTTAACTGATTTATAGAAAATATCTATTAAAGTGTATTATTAGCATCACATACTATATATGAGTTAATTTAGTTACTCTTACTTTTGCCAGTCAGTGTAGGCTTTTGTGTATAGATGATGATGAGATCGTTGCTGTTTTACCTTCACCTACCACAAACACCTTATTAAGTGTACTTTTGCGCCAACAGCCCACTAAATTTTAAGTACACTTTGTTCAAGAGTGTGGAGCAAGCGTATTCAAAGTTTGGCGCTATGATTTATGGCCATCAGTTTTTGTTTGTTTATGCAAATTTGCAAATTGCGAGGCAAAGTCGCACCATGGGCGGGGGCGGGGCGGCACAGGAGCAGGGGCAGCGCAGACTCGAACCAAGTGTACATCAGCCCCAACAAAATGAGAAGAAAACAAAACAAACGAATGCGAGACAGAGATAAAATAGTAGAACTAAGAGTAGCATCTCTCGCTGCAGCAGCAGCAGCCACAGCCACCACAGAGCTGAAGGGCGACGTCGACGGCGATGTCGATCATTTAAGCAGCATTTTGTGAGCTGTTGAGATCAATTTTAATTGTGATCGCCAAGTGCTGATTGTTGCTATTATTATTATTATTATTGTTTGTTGTTGCTGCACATGCCCCGCCTGCCACCCTGCTGTGACCTTCAGATCATTGCCATCGTAGTTTTGACAAGACGAAAATGTAGAAAACAAAAAGGAAAATGCAGTCGCCACCCACACACACACACACACACAGACATAGACACAAATGCACACGAGCATATGATGTTCAAGTACATTCAATTTTGCAAGCGAAACCCCCCTCTCTCTTCTCAACAATCCACCAACTCTGCCCCAGCACCCATAGTTGTTGTGCATTAATTTTATCCAGAATTGTGCAGCTGTAACCGATGCCAATTGCGCTTTTGTAACTCTGCTGCTCGAGACGACGTCGTCGTCATTGCCCGTCGCCACTTGTGCAATTGAACAAAGTCCAGAATCCACCACCTCTACACGCCCCCTTTGGCATGGCATGCTACAGTGATGCACCCAGCGAGACAGGAGGAGATGCAACCAGCACTCGCGCCACATGACGCATGGAATTTTTCAAATAACTAAATAATTTAGTTCTTGATAAACATGGCAAAATTGTGCAATGGAAATTTATGGATACGCTACACGATATATATATTTTGTTAGTTCCATTATGTTTGTAAAGGTGTAAAAATGTCTATCGAACGCATCGCATGCAATGTAAACTATTTGCCAGTTTTGTTATTGTGCGTCACGGAAAGAACTTTGTACGGCATTAATTGAAATGATTATACAAAGTGAAACACTTGGAATCACATGTGTATTATATTCAGGCAACAACTGCCACATTAATATGCGAGGCATACTTTATAAACAAGAGTCACATGTTGTAAACAGCGTTTTGTCCAGCTAAAAGTTTATTGGCATCCAAGCTAAATATTTAATCATACGTTTATCGATTTCACTGAGAAAAACGTGTCGTGAAACATTTGCACACTTAACTTTAACTGGCAATACAATATTTGCAATGCTTATAAAACATTTGCTGGAAATTTGAGCACAAATGCATTTCGATTATAAAATTCATTACGATAAAATGAGAATCATCTAAATGGTTTGGAAAATCCATTTTCAAATATTCTTTATGAAATTCTTCGTTCAGTTTCAATTTTAAATAAATAAAAAAAATACGTAAATACATTAAAATTTATCTGACTACAGATTTATCTAACAAAAATATTGTTCTGCTTGAACTCCAAGTTTCTGGTCTGTTTGCTTTTATTACTGGAAAATTCCAAAGTTTGCGAACAACATATTCCATTGAATTATTGTAAATCAGCTTGCGCAAAACAATTTGATACGCAATATTAAGAAAAGTTCATTCGTTTAACTAAAATGTATATATAATTTCTGTAGACTAAAATATGAGTTCTGTATGTGAATTTTTCACAAGCAACAGATGTTAAAATCCATTCCCTTTTATATACCTGAAACAGATTCCCTTTGCGAACCCTGTTGAAGGTGCAACGAAATAAATACCTGTAAAATCCTCGTACACCTGATAGAGTGCAGCGGTCTGCTTAAGATTTGCCTGTTTGACTTCCTCCTGCGCTGCATATGTGAAATACGAGCACGCCCGACGACAAACGGTGACCAAATTGTTGCTCTTGCTGCTGTTGTTGCAGCCATTGCCAAAACTGAGCACTGGCAATTGCAACATGGCGAGGCGATATAGTAGACGTTTAAGGATCAAACTCTGAACTGCAACTAACTGCTGGCGAGCAGCGACGCTTTGCATGAGAACACGCACGCAGTCAAGCGGAAGCTACAGGTGTTCTCTTCCTCTTCCTCCACAATGCAGGCGATGGGAAAAAACGCAAACGCAAACGCAAATACAAACACAAATACAAATGCAGGTTAAGGGCAGTGTGCGAAAAGACCGCACACAGGTGGTGCTGCAGCACAGGAGGAAAATAATTGCAAGCGTTTGCTTTTGCTCTTTATTTTCTCTTTATTTTTGGTTGATTTTTTTTTTTTTTGGGAATTTCCCTTTGTCGTTGCCTGCGCTCGTTTACTGCTGCTGCGGCTGCTTCTTCTTCTACTTCTACTAGTGCTCAGTTTCTTCTTCATTGCTGGCTTAGTGCCAGAAACATGATGAAAAACTAATTGAGTGGCGTTTGAATAATGTACATTTTGCTGGGCTATACGCACACACGCCTTGGGCTAAAATATTTTTTTTATTGTCAAATCGACTCATCAAAATGGAATCTTGTAACAAAATTACGTTGTAAAAGTGTCAGAGGAGGAGCCTTGGCGCAAACTCGCACGCAATGAGACCTTCATACAAATACCCACCCATACACATGCTGCCGTTGTTTGCGTGTGTGTTTGTAGAAATGTCATTAACATTGAATCGTTAGCCGAAAGCGCTCACTGTTAAGCATATGTCTACCCGGAAAGAAGGAATAAGGACAGGGGAGGAAAGCAGACATGCAAAAGTGGTAGGTAAATCTAGTAACAATAACAGAATACCAGCAGTCATCGCAAGAGTGAGCGAGATAGTGCACATTTTACCTAAGGGCAGAGCAGGGCACAAAGCAGCGCAGCGCAGCAGGCAGGAACTGAACTGAACTGTGCTGAAGGCGGCGGCGGCTGCGCCTTGTTTTTAGCTTCTCGTTGGTTGGTACAGTGCCGGTTGGTGCTTGGCAAGGGGCGAGGGGCGCAAGGCGTTTAGCACACATTCGCTCTTATGCGAGCTCTGCTTGTGCCTGCAGTTCACTTAATACACACAAATATGTGTGTTCGTTCCATACCAAAATAAATTCAGAATGAAGCTTAAAATTCCCTGACGCATTGACGTTTGGTGCTTTTTTTAGTATCTACAATAACAACAACAGCGAGATAAAAGTACTAGCAAAGATATTTATTTGCTGGCAGTGACATTTTTTATGTGAATGCTGTGTGTGGTTTTTGTTTTGCCTCAGCAACGACATTGAAAAATTTAAAAAAAAAATAGAAATACCCACACAAACGCATACGTGTATGTATGTAAATGCGAGGCAAAACAGCTGCTGTTCCCCACTCTCCCTTCACGCTTTGCTCCTAGCGGCAACTCACCTGTTTTTGATTGCTCCTCGATGGTCTCCATTTCGTTTGAATTGCATTAAACACACACACACACTTTCAATTATATACACAAATTTAGAGTTTGTGTTTTTATTTTCTTTGTTTCAATGTTTCAGTGATGGTTTGGTTTGCTTTTAAGTCATTGCCTCAATCATCCCAATGCCACAGCATCATTTGTTTTTTGCACACAATTGAATTAAACAACGCTTTGGTCAATTAAAAAGCGGCACGCAAAGAACACAGAAAGCGCCAAAAAACAGTCACAATTTACGCACACATACACACAAACAGGCAGGCAGGCAGGCACGCATTAAATGAATTCCATTGAATGCGGTGGCAGGCGGCGTCGCTTTTTTTGTTTTAGCACTTTTCGCAATCTTGATAACTAATTTAGTTTGTATTCACACGTTTAATTGCACGAGTCTCGATTGTAATTGTTAAATAAATAATTACACTGCGCCTAGTACGTGTTCAAGCTGCTTTCTTTACAGCGCGTCGGAATTGAAAATCAAAATCAACGGTCAAACACGTCCGGTCGCACGGCTGTTCGTCTCGCTTTATTTTACATAAATGTTAATGCCGCTCACTCTTTTGCTCGAAATGGCACGGCTAACTGCCCTACATTAACAGAAATGTTAATGTTATACTCAAAATACCACTGGAATGTTAATAAGCTATCGATATTCGATCAGTGAAACAGTGCTGTCACACGCAGCATACAATAAATAGTATCGGACAACACTTGTTGCTGTGACGTCACACACACAAGCGCAGTTACGTCAATGTAGCAATATGCCCAGCAATCTGTCAAACAACCCACCACCAGCATAACTACAACAACAACAGCCCACTGACATTTTGTCAATAGGTCCATACATACATTTCTCATTTTTTCACACTTGCACGAATCGAAAAAAGATACAAATTTTGTTTTGCTTTTGCTGTTTTTTTACCGCCCAATTTCGTGGGCCCAATTTTTGAAGTTGTTTTTGAATGATGCTTCATCAACCGCCGCCGATGCCGCCGACACACAGCATCAAATTAATGTCCGGAGCGGAAGAGAATCGCCATTACCTGCGTGCCTTCATCCACACATATCGCGACATGCCCGTGCTGTGGGACACTTCGCTGCGCGACTATACGAACCGGGAGAAGCGAGCTGAGGCCTATCAGCGACTGGTGCCCATCTATCACTACCTCAAGCGGGATGCGACTGTCGAGGATGTGAAGAAGAAGATCAACACACTGCGCACCAATTATCGCAAGGAGCTCAAAGTGGTGGAGACCGCGATGCGTACGGGCACCATGCATACACCTCGTTGCTGGACATTTCAAGAGTTGGACTTTCTGAGGAATACCGAAAAGTTTCTGGCCGTGAATCCCACGTTCAAGAACGAACCATCCTTCACGTTTAACGAGAACTCCAGCTCGTCGGCGGCCTTTATGGAGCAGCATGCCAGCAGCTCGTATCCATATCGCAGTGTGTCGGGACAAACGCCTAACATAACGGAAATGTTCCACAAATCGTTTGGGCATGTGCAAAAGGTGGATCCGCTGCCGCCGCCGCCACCTCCTCCGACAGGTGTAATGCACCAGCCGCAACACTCGCAGGCGGACTACACGAATGGGGCGAAGCGGGCGAGACAAACACCGCCATGCAACAACAGCAGCAACAACGGCAGCAGCAGCAGCAACAACAACGTCGTCACCAATGCACCCGCCACGAGTACAGTGAGCACTCACAACACGGACGAACTGCTCAACATTGCGTGCGAGTATCTCGCTGGCACCTATCCCGAGGAGGAGTCCATTTCACGCACCTGGACGCACAAACTGAAACGTTTGCCGCGCGAACAACGACTGCTCGCGGAGCGCTTCATCAACGAGATCCTCTTCGAGGCGGAGTCAAATAATTTGCATCGCGGCTCGGTGCAGATCAACAACAGCTTTGAGCCGTATGTGCGCTTCGAGGAGCCACCGGCGTGTCACGAGGAGCAGGATAAGTCACAAAGTCCCAGTGTGCACACCTCATCGGAGTCGACACCAAAGCCCAGCGCCGGCGCATCCAATAATCCGCTCAATGAGCCACCAAATGCGGCGGGCATTCGGGATTTCTAAATTCGAAAATCGAAGCTTAGCGATTAAGTGTTATTTGGTTTTTATTGACTGCAGACATGGCACACTCAAGATACAGCTACAAGTTAAACATTTATTTGTAAATATATATGGAGATATATATATATATATATATAAGTATTTGAGTTACGGGAGAACCTGTATGTATTTTTAAGGATAGACGGCTTAGCTCAATCCACACGCTGATAATCGACTAGATTGCGGGTTAGCCAAACGTAGGGCGAGGCGCCGGCCATAAAGAGGCAGGCACCGATCACAGGACGATGCAGAATCCACGCGATCGCCGCTATCGTCAATGCCAGCGAGAAGGCGATCACAAAATTCCCAGTCACAGGGAAATGCAAATCCGGCGCCAGACCCATCAGCGGCGGCACGCGCAGCACTGCAACCGAAACGATATCACAATTATCTTTCTGTTTATCTTTATGTTTTTGTATTTGTAGTATTAGCATATCTTTAGCATGTATTCAATTGTTTTGTATAAAATATAATATTTGACAGTCGAAATACGTCGTTGGTTATCTTTACACCAAGAGGATATCTAAGGTCTATCAAAGAATAGGACAATGAAGTCAATCTGTCATTGAGCAAGAGGGCGATAAGCTCAATCTATCTTTAATCTTTACATAAATCAATCTTTTAATCTGCTGGTTTTCTCTATATAAACCCAATCTTAAATATGACGTGGAAGTAAACTCAATCTATCTTTAATCTTGGCAGATTTAGACCCATCATTTAAATTTCTGATTTATCTCTATATAAATCCTAGCTAAATGGAATTCACATTCCAAACTCACATCGAGATTATTAATTTAGGAAGCGGACGATAAACTATATTAATCCGCACAGATCCCTCTTTAAAATTCCCGATTCTTCTTAACAACAATTTCATAAAGTTGTTCATTGAGGAAGAGGATAAGAACTTACGTAACAGGCGCAGCATCTTTGTGTTGCACGTGACTCCAAAGAAGATGAGCAGCCAGCCGACGAACCGCCACCACCAGGTGTGCAGCGCCTGAGCACGATACTCCATGCGAAACAGTTCCGCTGCACTGATCTCGCCGTGATGCAATAGGAGCACGGGCACACCGCGTGTGGTGATATACGGCTCCACCTTGTTGCCCTGCAATTTGCCCACTATGCTATAGATTTCACCCTCCATGCCGGCGTACGTGAAGAGTATGCGCAGATCACCCACCTCCGGATTGAACACATCGTTGGCATGATAGTAGAGGCCCAGGTGCATCTTGATGCTGCTATCCTCCGGCCGTATATCGGAAGTTAGTTCATGATAGTTGTTGAACTTGTTCTTCACCTCGCCGCCCAGTTCGTATTTGCCAATGTAGACGGCATCGGCCACCTGTAAGACGCTCTCGATGGGCAAACGCTGCGGATTCTGGTGACCACGACGGCTGTTGAAGCGGCGCGAGTCAACAAGATCATCGCGCCACTCGCGCTTATAGTAATAGCTACGAGTATCCGAATGCACCGAATCTTCGCTGTCGCCAAAGTGATTATCGATGGCCTCCTCCACCCACTGGTACATTTGTACGCGCCGCCTCAATTTCACGGCCATCAGCTGGATGTTGTAGTCCGGCTCGGTGAGCGGTTCACCGCATATAATTGGACCCGATAAATGTACAATCCGATTATCGAACGTCTGATCCTGCTCCTCCTCGGTGAATTGCATCGAGTAGACATCGGCATAGGTCTCATCCAAGGCCATCATTGTGTGCACAGCCCGTCCCTCGTTCCAATAGAGGACGCTGGAGCCGGCGATGAAGAGTATCAGGCCAAAGGCAGCGATTAGCCAGTGGGCCCGCAATGTCTCGACGAGCGTGGCCATGTGCAATATGCTGTTTCCGTTTAGATATGCATTTAAAGACTATGTAATTGGACAGCAATAAATGCTGTGGCGTCTGCACCGAAAATTGTCTCAAATTTTCAACAAATTGTGTGTTAGTCCGAAGCCGCCAATTTGCACACTGCGCAACGCCGTTGAAAGCAACAGCTGTCACTGTCAGCTGTTCCAAATTTGAGTGTCAAAAAAAAATTAAAATAAAAAAAATTAGCATTTATAAGAATGTGTAGCAACAGTTTAGCCGATTATCAATTTACAAAGGTCTTAAAACATGGCAGATTCAGCTCGGTCTACAAGGCGAATTGTGTTGGCAACAATCACTCGATTGTTATCAAAAAGTTCCCGCTGGAACATGGAAATGATGCCGAATTGAAGAAACTCTTCGCAGAGATTCAATGTTGTCGTCAATTCAAGCACCCAAATATCAATAAAATCCTTCATTGTTTTACAGCCGAATGTGATATGTTTGTCCTCTATCCGTACATGTGCTTTGGAGCGTGCCAAATACTGCTGGAAAGTATTTTCACAAATGGATTCCCCGAGGCGTTGATCGCATTACTTTTCAAAGATGTTTTGTCCGCTTTGATGTACATTCACATGAATGACTTTGTTCATGGAGCGGTGAAGGCTGGTCACATCCTGTTGGATAACCAGAAGGCAGTATTAACGAATTTCCATGAGAGCCGCAGCTTTATCAAACATGGCGTAAAGATACCAGTATTACATGGCGTTTCTCAGGAGAAAAACCTAAATTGGGCTGCCCCTGAAGTGCTCGATCAGAACATCAATGGGTATACGGAAAAGTGTGATATCTACTCGGTGGGCATAACTGCCTGCGAAATGGCTAATGGCATTCAACCCTATTTCGAGACGCAGCCCACACTCATGTACACGGAGAAGATTCGCGGAAATGTGCCCTCTCTGCTCGATAGATCGACGTACACAATGCTCCTCGATGATCAGGGTAAAATGCCGTTTGAAAATTCGATGACGAGGAGAACCTATGAGATTTTTAGTCAACGCATTCTTTCCGACGATTTCCATCAGTTTGTCGAAATCTGTTTGAATCGCAATGCCGAGAATCGCTGGAGTGCCAAGAAGCTAATGACCCATGCATTTTTCAAGCAATGCCGACACTCGACTATCTCGGATCACATCAAGAAATGTCGCTCCGAACTCGACAATAATTCCATAATAGACGATGAAAGCATGGGTCAGCTGGATGACCGAGATGTAAATGAATGCCGTGAAGATGTTCAGTGGAATTTCTAATTAAACATAATTGTAATGATATAGACACTTAAGTTAAATCAAATAAACAAAGGTTTTAAACAAATGTCAAATTGACTTATTAAAAAGGGTTATATTTCTACTTCGAGTGTTTGCCTTACATCCATTTAAATATTCGTTAGACAAGATATTAAATTGAAATCCATAATTTATTTCACATAATTTACTATAATATAAATGTGGCTTTATTTACAGTACATATCCTTATGTGTATTTATTACTATTATTTTGCATAGTCATCGGTAATTAGTTGCTCGAATCAAGCCAAAGCTAATGCGTTAGTTTGCCATATTTTGCATTTAAGTGTTTTCTAAAAAGATGTTTGCCATAAATATCTCAATATCCAAGGTGTTTCACACAAAAATGATATATGTATCACTGGGCGCCTATTAAAATGGAATCTAAATTATACATATGAAACAAGACAGATGATGTTGGTCACGTATTTTGTTTATTACGTATTATTATTATTAAACAAATTAATAACAACTAGGCAAAATCTGTTCGACTAAAATTAAAATTATTTAACAAATAACTAATAAGAAATTGCTTATTTTTTCTCGTGTTGTTTCGTTTTGTTAACTTAAACTTAAAAGAAATAAAATTCAACTAAATATTTGGACAAAAATCACGCACAAATTGCTTCAAACAGGGCGCTCTTTAGTATGTGTTAGATTTTTTGGACACCTTGTTAAATATATAAATATAAAAACATAACTTTGTCTGTCTGCTGAGCGCATAAAATGTACAAATTTAAATCTTAATATATATGCTCCAGATATAAGTATAGTTTTGTAATATTTAGTGGGCTATCACTGACAAATAACGTTTATGCTTTTTGCACTTAGTATGTATAGATTATGTGAAGCTAATATGTGAAGCATAATTATTAGCACAAATTGGATTGTTTAACTAAAATTTGTTAGAACCCAGTGTTTTTCTTCTCTTCCTTTTTTTTTTGTGTGTTTTTGTTACATAAGTTGGATATTAAATAACTAAATTAAGGTATTCTTTTCTCTAGCCTGCGAAAATTGTAACTGCTTAGGTCGGATTTCCATATATATATATATATATATATATATATATATGTGTGTGTATACTATATATGTATAACTTGTTTTTTTTTATAAATATTTCACTTAAAACAACAAATTAGTTTTAACGTTGACTAACATGCCACACAATCAAATAACTTTTATCGCCTCGATTTTCGATTGTTTGATTTGGTTCCAGTTGTATACTGTTCTCCATGTCATTGTCACCTGTAAAATGGGCATAAAATATGATTAGTAAGTTCAAACTTCAGGTATAGTTACGCATATTATATACACATAGTTAGTGCTGCAGCGACACAACTACAAAGGCATTGAAATTGTTGTTTATAATACATGAAGGCATAAGTTGTTATTATTATTATTATTGTTTTAACCAGCGCTTAGAAGAACACAATTCGTATATATTTATTCTCTGCTGCACATCTAGATAGATATTGTTTAGTTTCCTTATGACTTAAGCTGTGAAACGTTTTAGTTTGGATTAGTAATTGATTGTTTGTTTTTTTAGTGAGAGTGCGCGATTTGTTTGGTAGTTTGTGGAATAGCCAGCAATCTTTATAAATAATATTAAGCATAAATAATAATACAAATTATATATAAACAAACTACATAATACAATTAAATTTAACGATAAATCAAGAACTACCATTAAAAAAAGACTTTTCAAAATATTTGTTTTTGATTTGTGAAAATTAAGTTAAAGGAAATTGATTTTTAAATGTAAATATACACCATCAGAGGTATTCTATATACAATTGGTACCTTTACAAAATTCCGAGAGACGAATAACAAGGGCATAATTGAAACAAAATACAATAACTCCACTTGTGAATTTGGTGGAACTGTGACAAGTGTGCATAAAAAACATATAGAGGGATACGTGATATCTTTGCAAAACAGAAAGAAAACAATAACATTGAACATAAATTTGCATAAACCTTAGGGGTCTTGAGAATCAGATCGCACGGCTCGGACAAATGCTGCATTCCCATTTATTGAGCGTGGCGGCGTCGCGACGCTGAGCGGAGCACTACAAATTGAAGGTACTACACGGCCGTCAAGTTAAACAAAAAGAAAATGCGATTAAAACCACAAATACGCATAGCATACGCAACAATACAAAACTAAGCAAGAAATAGATGTAAATCAAAATATAAATATAAACAGCGCAAAGTAAAAAAGATAAGATTAAAAAACCGAATATCAAAAAATGAAAAGAGCAAAGCTTACGTATCGACTTTCCAAACTATCAAATGCGCTGCATTATCACTAGCATCGAATTTATCATGTCCTGCAGAGGAATATGGAATATTGTATAATTGCATATATAATGTGAGAGCGCTCGCTCGCTGATTTTGGGCTGTCAACTGTTTAAACTAGAGCTTGGACGGCCGCTGGCTCCACTTACTTATGCGAAAATCAATATAACCCTCTCCGCCGCACATGACCAACATATCGGGGCGCTTATTGCTGAAGGTGAGTGTGCCATTCGGCTGCTGCAGCATGGGCACCGATACAAAGAACTTGACTGCATCGCGATGGCCATGGAAGGACAGTTGAGCATTGGCCATGCAGCACAATGGCATTTGGCCATGGGGATCAGCTGAGCAGGAAAAGAAAAACGACAGTTTTAATAAATGTCAAGTTATGCATTAACTGCTGCTCACATGACTTTTGCTGAGTCTCGGCCAGCGGCACAGAGATGATGACACCGTTGCTGGTGCCAATCCAGAGGCGATTGCAGGACACCATCAGCGCTGTGATGCGCACAAAGCTGAAGCCCAGCTTGCCGGTGCCTAGCATTTTGGACACATACGGCTCAATGTCCACATCCTGCTTGTGCTCAAACGTATGCGTATTGTACAGCCGCAGTGTGGAATCCAAACTAAATGGAGAGTTAATACAATTAATACGATTCGGTTTTTGGGGTATATTGAAAGTGCTGCTCACCGTATGGATACCCAGACGCCGGCGCCAGTGGCTGCCATTTGGCGCACCTGGCTCTCTTTGCGCGGATGCGCGTCTAGCGAGTGTACAATGTTTAGCGATATGGGATCAACAATAAAGATTTTGTTGCGATGCGCAGCCCAAATGCGCTCGCCGGCCACACAGAGGCAACGTATCGAATGATTGCGATCACCGAGCGTAACCAGGTGATAACTATTCAGATCCCATTGGCCGTCTGTTTGGCGGCGGAACACGGCTAACTGAGCATTGGCCAGCGCAACAACAACACGCGCCTCCACATGCACAATCGCCAGCACAGCATCGGGCAGGAGCACCCGGTGCAGACACTCATGCCACCGTCCCACACTGCTGTGCACGTACAGCCAACCATCTTGGGCGCCCAACCACATAGTGGGACCCACCGAACTCATGACCGGATCCTCGCGCTCCTTGGTGCCCAGTATGGGATTCAGTGAATTAATGCCCAATGGCACATTGCTGCCTCCGTTGGTGTTATTGTTGTTGACATGATTGCTGCTATTTTCGGAGTTGCTGATCAGTCGCCGCGGTGCTCCCGGCAACGCCTGACGTATTTTAATGGCCTCTACATTGCCCAGCGGTTCGCTGGCATCCACAGCGGGCAGCTGCTCATTGGATTTCTCTGTCGCCTCTTTGGCCTCGGCCACGCCAACAACAACAGTAACCGCTACGACCTCCTCCTCAGCGTCCTCTTTTGAGTTCTGTTTACTGTTGCTGTTCTGATCCGCTTTGGGTCGGACACGCACAAACTCCACCTTGCCGAGCAGCTCGGTGCCCTCGCCTGGCCGCTGCAGCATCTCACCCGCCTTGACCACCTCAGATTGCTCGAGCAGGGCATAGTCACTCTCCATGGCGCCCTGCACGGATGCAATGCACAGCAGATGCGATGCGCATATCGGAAAAGCATCCAGCACTGTGGCCGACTGATTCGCATCCACAACACTGACAGTGCTGGCGGCATGTGTGCTTGTGCAGATCCATACAAACGAACTGAGCTGCGTCTCGGGCTCCAGCGTTTCGAGGCAGGCACGGGCCATTTGGCGATCCAGCGCCTCGGCACTCTGCTCCGCTGTTGGACTTGTGATCTCCGCTATTTTGAGGGTGGAGTGCGGCGCATAGGGCGAGTTGGCGGGTATCAGCGATTGGCCATCCTTGGTGAAGCCACCCTGCAGATTGACACCGGCCGCGCAAAACACTTTCATGTGCGGCGATGCCTCCGCCAGCGGATTGCAATAAACAGGCACGGGCACACCGCCCGAATGACGACTCGGATTGGCATCTAGATTGGTTTTGTTAATGGGCAAGCTCCAGCCGTACGCATGCAGGCGTCCGTCCTCCTTTTGCACATGGGCGCGCAGTTGTCGATATTGTTCGCGCCGCCTGGCGCTGATACGCTCCGAAGTGCCCTCCTCCGCATAATCCTTGGCCATGATTAAAGCATTGGCAAGACCGGCGCTAGCCGGATGCGGCATTGGCTGCCCACCGGTTAGGGCAAGGCGATTGTCGCCTCCTCCACGGCTAGGTGATCCATGGCTGTGGGCAGGGCTTCCTCCGCCTGTGTGACGAAACATAGGCCCCCCTCCAAGGCCGTCAGCGACGCGTTCCGTCGGACGATTGGAGGGGCTGCAAATTTTTTATAGCAAACAGCAAGATTAATAAAAGGCTATTGGTGGACACTTTCAAGTGGAAGACTCACGTAAAAAGATTACTAAAGTATTTCCAAATACTCTGCTTCGACTTCTTGTCCAAATTATCAACAGTGCGCGATGCGCGCAATATTTCTGTAAGGCGCACCGCCTCCTGCAGCTCCATCAGCCGCTCCTTGTACTGATTACGCTCCATCAGCACCATGGCCATTTCCACACGAGTAAAGCGTTTGCGCTGAGCCAGCGGCACATCATTCTCCTCCTGCTCGGTGTCTGTCGGGGCGAGGGTAAATAAGTATTTCGATTAGCTTGTGTATCTGCGAGCGGTGAGCAACTTGGGCCACTTACTTTGTTGTTTCACCTGTTCCTTGGTCTTCTTGAGGTCATCCTCCAGCTCGCTGATGCGCTGCCTGAGCTTCGTACGCGACTGTTGCATGGCATTCAGCTCTTCGCGCACAATTTCTATCTCACCCGTCAGCTCATCCACTTTGACAATCAAATCGTCCTTGACAATGTTGAGTGCATTTCTGTGGCAAATGATTGATTGACATAAGTATGTCGTTGTGCACTCATCAAATTAGTCACACTTACTTGGTCGCCAGCAGCTCATTGTTCTCCATGATGAGATTCTCCACCTCCTTGCCCATGCCTGTAAAAGCATTGAAAAAGCAATTAGTAAAGAAATAAAAATGAAAATTTAGATATATATAAAGATTGGGTGTGGAATGCAGGAAAATGTTACGTGGAATGTAAGAAAATTAAACAAATTAAGTGCAAACTGAGTTTATAACGTTTAAAAATGTTATTGAATGGGAAACGTGAGTACAATTTTATAGTTGACATGCGTGAAATTGGAAATTAAACGGAAAATGAAAAATGAATTTCAGTGGAATTGATGTAGTTTCAAATTAAAGTCAAAACCTGAACCAATATAAAGTAATCACTAATAAAAATAATGATAACTCAAAACCGAAACTGTGAATAATTCAAAATATGGCTAGATCACCCACTGACACCAACAGAGAATTAAACTGAAGTTTGAAGACCAATGCAGACGAAGAAAGTTAATTGAAGACACTACTTACATAGGAGAAGACTACGAATAGTTAGGAACTATAGCTATGAATGCATATATATATATTTATATATCGTGTCGCACTGGAAAACTTACCAAAATAGTTGTCGTTAGCTTTTATTTGTTGTAGGTGTTGGTGTTTTGTGTTGTGGTTTATTTGAACAAAAAGTTTTCAATTTTTTTTTTTTTGAATTTTTTTTTAATTGTGGGGAAAAAGGTAGTTTGGAATAAATAAAATTATATTGGCATAAAAAAGAGAAATTTGAAATTTCATTAGATGTCAATAAATATGATATTTTATTAGGCTTTGCATTATGATGACAACATTATCTCGAGCACATTAATTCCAACACATTTCACAAAACCAACATCGCTTGTGGATCCGATGATTTATATTTTAATTTACTTAGATTTTTTTTTTTTGTTCAGTCGATTATCGTATGATATTTGATGTATTTACAGGTTATATAGATGAATCCATATATGTAGGAATTATATGGTCTTGTTGGTGGAGTTTGTTGTGGTTGTGGTTGTTGTTCTTGGACATGGTCTTGTGTGTGGTACCTACCTGAGGATGCGTACTCTCCGGGATGTACCCAGCTGCCTATTACAGGAAAGGGGAGAGAGAGAGAGAGCGTGAGACAAGAGTGGTAACCAATGAGTCCCGATTTCGCAGAGAATAGGTTTTTGGTATATGTGCATTTGTTGTTGTTGAGGATTGTTGTGCATGAAAAGAACATTTAAAAAAATATATAAAAGAGAGTTGTAAAAATTGGATTTGAGTTTAGTTTTAAGAGACCTTTAAGCCAAAACGTGCGATAATTCATTTGGAGTACGCCGAGAAGGCATCCAACCCTTACCTGTAACAATCTCATTCTCTTCGCTCTCTTCGTTATCCGGGAAGGACAATTCTTGGTAGAGATTATTGTCCGAGCGGTGCTCCTTTTTGGTAGTCGAACGACCAACTGGGATTGGTTTTATTTTTATATTTGTATTGAATTTTTTGGGTTGGTTTCGTTACGGTTTTTTGTTTAGTTAAGTTAACACAAACACAAAAGAAAGTAGAAAATTTGGAAAATTAGTACGAGTTGCAGTAGGTTAGCTAAAAGAGGAGCAGCCAGTTGGTAAGAGCCTCCCATCACTTACCATTTGCGGGCACATTTGGCACAACGGGACTCATGTCTGGACTCTGTGGCGAGCCGGCAAGCGCATCTGCTGCACCGGCACGTTCGACGCTGCTAGCCAAATTGTCCAGTTCATTCTGCAGCGATGGCGGTCCCGAGTCATCCGACTGACTGCCCGCACTGCAAATCGTCTCCGTATCCAACATTACAGAGTTCTCCAGAGAGGCAAAACCGTAGGAGACGGGGCCAGAGCTACGCGCGACTGGATTGAGTCGAGCCCGACTCACATCCATGCGATCGGAGGCATTGCTCATTTGGGAGTGAGTCGAACCCATCAGCATTTTGGTGCGTTCCATGTAGTCCACATGGTTCTTGAACAGTTCCGTGTAGCGTTCATGCAGCCTGGCATACTCCTGTAAATTTACAGTAAGTCACGTCAAAGGTCAACAATTTGTTTGTAATTGACTGCCTACCTTTTTGAGGTCCGCCTCACGCTCCTCCAGGCGACTGGCATGCTCAACGCTGTTCTTGTGTTTTAGTTCCAGCATGCGCACAATACTCTCCAGGGCCTCCAGTCGGCTGGCGAGCTCTTTGTTCTCCTGCTCGGCTAGGTCCTCCGCCTCCAGCAGCTGTCGCGAGAAAGGTTTAATTTATTCTGATTTCATTCGGGTTTTTTCCAACGAACTTTTGTGTCTTACCTTTTGCTCAGACTGTTTGCGTGCGCTCTTCTCTCGCTCATATTGTGTTACCAACTGTTCATTGTCCTCGCGTAGCAGCTCCACCTCCACGTCCTGCTCCTGATTGATGCGATAGGAGGCATCCAGGCACTCCAGCACGTTCACGAGCAGTGGCATCAGGTTCTTAACCACATCCTCGTCATAGCGATTGATCATTCGCTCGAACTCCTGATAAATGCTGCCAGCCAGCTGCTGCACCTGTAGTGTGAGGAGAAGTGGGTGCATCAATTTCAAATACAACGCAACAACAACAACGACAGGCAAGTGCAAGTGCGATATAAAGAGAGAGTAAGGTGTTAGAGCACATTAAGGGCTTAATTAAACCCGTATCATAATTGCGGTTTTTGCGGCTGCTTTGTTTTATGAATGAAGAATCGTTAAATGAAAGTCCAATGAAAACACAAGTCAAGCGTGTTCAGCCGCGAGACGACCGAAAAGATGGTTAAATAAGAGCCAGACAGACGGTGGGAAAGCTGAGAGGTCAAAGTTAAACACTTCCCATGCCATTTTGGTTAGTAACAGAGGAAAAAAACAGACAAGTAATTAATGAAAGACTCAAAGTGCACATCGCAACAAAACAAGAAAGTACTTAGAAAAACCAAACATATAAGCAAATGTAAATATCGTGCATATAGGTAAAAAAAAAAAAAACAACAAATTAGTGAGAGAACAATTATAAAACAAACAACAAATTTTGAACTCACAATGCTGACAACCTCTTCATTCTGAAAGAGAGAGAAAAAAAGAGAAGAGAAAAGGGCACGTAAAAAACTAAAGTTTATAATAAAATTAAAATTATACACATTTAAAAACTAACAAACAAATCGAAACCCATAAAGTGCACCGCCTGTTTTTAAAGAATCAAGTGCGTGTTAAACATAAAACATGAAATGAAACTTAAGACAAATGTTTAGATTACATATAAAAATAACCAATCTATTAAATATAAATAATAAATGTTTATCTTCGGAGTGCCGAAGACTAAATACTCTTGCAGACATATTGCCAGATGTTCGATATAAAATACTAATGCCCTGCACCATAAACGAACTCATGGGGTCATAAATATAAATAAATTTAATAAACCGCAAATATTTTTTCAATAATTTATAATACCCGGCTTAAGGGTATAAAAAATCAATTAAAATTCAATTCAAATTCAAACTGTATTTTGTGCGTTCAATCGTGGCTGGTGTTCCGCATTCAAGAGACCCCTTAAAATAATGTTAATCCCAAGGTTGAGCTGGGTGTACGGTTTATAAGGCCAGCCAATGAGTAAGCATAGAAGCTAATTCAGCTCCGAAAGTTGTTTGAAGTTTAACCAGTTTCATTGCTCAGCTACAAACAGCAAGAAAAGCACGCATATGCGTCACAGCTGTGACGGAGCCGCTTGAATGAGTAAAAGTGAGTTTGAGTTGGCAGGCAGCTTTTAACTCAATTAACAGGTAGCCAGCCCTATTTGAACAAGTGAAGCATGCGGCTATCTACTAAAGGGTTTGCTTTTTTTTATTCAGACGCTCGATGAGCTCATGAGCGCAGCATTTGCATTGAGGTCGGCCCGAAGCGAAGCTGATAAAGTGCAAAAATCAATGAAGCTGCTTTGATTGCCAGAAAATAACAAGAACTGGATTGTGGGGGGTGGTTGAAAAGGGGGGTACATAAAAATAAACTGCTGCAAAGTGCGTGAGTCGACATTAAATTAGGCAAACGGACTTTTTATTGATTTCTATTCTCTACTACTTCCTCACTCTCTCTCTTTCTCTTGCTCTTTCTCTGTTTGACTCAACTCCTTTTTAGCATTTGGTGAATGTGAATGTCAATGACTCGTTATGTTGGTCAGCTGATGCATAATAAACAAGCCCAAAAAGCGATTGAATAAGAACAAGAGCGAGAGAGATAGAGAGGGAGACGGAGAGGAGGAACAGAGACAGATAAAAAGCAGACATTTGTAACTGTGATTATGGTACTTCCTGCAGAGCATATTGATATTATCTTGCAGTGAACAGTGAAAGCTACTTGTGTTCAGATAGGAATGGCCTTATCAACAAAAACAAAAACAAAAGCAGCAAAAGCCCGCATGAATCACTTGACAACAAAATGTATACCTTCTCCGACATGACCATATTGTTGTCCTCGGTGCCATAGACTGTCTCAGCGCCCGACTGTGGTCCACAATTATTGAGCATTGTGTCATCGTTGTCCATCATTTTTGTTGTTGTTGTTGTCGTCGTTGTCTTTTCTCTCTGTATTTCCTAGTCTCTGTGTTGGCTTCTTCTTCTTTCCTCCTAACTACGCATTCGAGTGTGGGTAGGAGTCTGTTGTTGTTGGTGTGAGCGTGTCTGTATGTGTTTGTGTGTAGGGGGTTGGGTACACACACTGTCACACGTACGTCACGCGTTATGCAGCTTTCAACCCCAAACAACAAAAGCAACAATCCAGCTACTGTGTGTGATGCGACGACAGAAGCACACACATATACAGGCACCACCAACACAGGTGCAGTTGTTAAATTATTCTTGTTGTTGTTGCTGTTATTTTCGTCGTGTTTACGAATTTTTCTTTGTATATATATATATTATTTAGCTCGTTTATTTTGAATATAATTGCATATTGGGCTTGTTTTGCGTGTCACTTTTTATTTGACGTTTTTCGCTGTGGCTATGTTTGGCCATCATCCTCTTTCCCCCCACCGTTAGCGACGTATTTTGGGCTTGATTTCATTTTTTTCGTGTACGTTTTTCACACATTTCCGCTACGTGTCGCACCTAGCTAACATAACAACGGCATACACACATAACTCGAGCACAAGTTTATGCACTATTATTAACTAAACACTTTTTTTTAGCACATTTTAGCAATGAATATTTGTAAGACTAAAATGCGAGCGACCGATTTTCATGATGAATGAGAAATGACTGCAGTGTTGGCAAATGCAATTATCACTTAGAGTGACCATATGAAGCATAATACTATCGATATATCGATTTCCCTTATGACACGCTGTCTTTTTGACGTTTGAGTTGTTGTTGTTGTCGTGCTTCGCTTTCGCAGTTGTATTTCTTTTGTTTTTTTGCATTTAATCCACCATCCAATTCGAAATGGTTTATGTTAAAAACTGGGAGGACTTTGAAATTGCGGCCGAAAATATGTACATGGCGAATCCACAGAATTGCCGGTACACCATGAAATACGTGCACTCCAAGGGACACATACTGCTCAAAATGACGGACAACGTGAAGGTAAATTCAATTTTGCCAAGCAATGAATAAAATTTTACTTATTTTTGTATTTCGATTTGATTGCAGTGTGTGCAGTATAAGGCGGAAAATATGCCCGATCTGAAGAAAATTGAGAAAATCACTAGCAATCTGGTCGGACATATGGCGTCCAAGGAGTAAAGTTAGCATTAAATTGGCCACGGCAGCAAATTTGGCATCGCACCGAACAACAACAACAACAAATGTGAACTGTGTGTTGTGGAAGTTGTTGGTATTCGATATCCAGTATGCGGATTGATCGCCGTGTTGCACCTGAAATTGTTTAGTTTGTAAGCGCACTGAGGCCATTGCCAGCTGTTAAGCGTGTGTTAACACGAGTAGTTACTGTTTAAATAACATTTTATAAATGTTAGCTCCTGTACACAGCCAGCCGGAACGGTGCCAGTGCAGATTTTTTTAAATTTATAATACTTTTGTATTTATTGTAATGTAAAAATGGGTTCACTTAGCTGCGATAATGTGACGTATTGAAAAAGTCGTGCACATTTCCATGAAATGCTTTAAACAAATTAAATGGTGTTTTATTTTATAAGCGGCACTTGCTATCGATTGTTGTGGTTTGTATCGACGCGTTGCGCTTTGAACTGTAGGGGGCGCTGCACGGCCGCCGATATTTGGATTTTTGACGGGCAATGGACTGAGTTATTTTTGTTTGCAACATTTTTACACTTGTAAGCTAGGTATTTTGTTTGTAATTTTGTTTTGTTTTCGTTTTTTGCAGCTACTTTGGTTGAAAAATTTTAATTGCCTAGCCATTAAAGCGATTAAACAGCCAAAGCAAACAATTTGCCAATGGACAGGTGTCGCTGAGTCAGTGAGATTCAAAAGAACGTTGTTGTTATTGTTGTTGTTGCTGCTGCTCAGTCGCTGACCGCTGTTACTCACTTAATAAGCGGGGAGCAAATATTTGAGTATTTGCATATGGGGAGGCACTCGAGTTTATTTGCCACAGGAGATTGACAGCGACTGCGAGCTGTGCAAGTTTGATGCCTCAACTCATGACATCACACACAAAGAGCGAGAGAGTGAGAGAAAAGAGAGACTGAGAGAGAGAGAGAGAGAGATCGGTAGCTCGAGCAAAGTGTTTGTTGACCAAAATGCCAGAAGAAGTGTTTGCGCTTGCAGAAACAAGTGCCTGCAACTAGGCAACTCAGTAGCCACTTTGGATTAAGGCACCTTCTAAATGACAAAAAAAGAGAAGACGTTTGTTTGACCCAAAGAAACGTAAAACGTTTAGGCCGGTTTTTTGTCTTTTGATCGGCCGTCGGTTGCAGCTCAAGCGTCTGCACTTGGCTTTGATTAGAGATGCCGCCAAAAGATGCGACGAGAGATCATGGAGAGAAGTGGAGGCGACTCCGTTTCCGGCAGCAGAGAGTTTTTCTTTTTTTTTGCGGGACAAGCTCATTTGGCTTCTGTTTGTCGGGGTCTTCTTCTTCTACTTTATCGGATGTTTGTGTTTGCGATTGTGTTTGCCGTTTTGTGCTTTTGAATATGTTGTTTACCGTGCCTTCATTGCGATCACAATCACTTTGAGCACAGTAAATGCAGCCATCATAAACCAGAGCTCATAAATTTTAAAGCACAATCGAAATCTACAAATCAAGTATATAAACATTCAATCTGAAAATAATATATATATCTGTAAATTTATATATATGACAGCTACTGGTATTTGAAAATCATAAACGTTCAACATTCAGCGATCGTTACAAGTCGATAAAGCAAGCGAACCATTGGGTTTAATTAGGCACACTGTATTGGAGCTAGTCATGATAAACTTGACAAATAACATAAATGCATTTATTGCGGGTGGCTTTCACGCTTCGTAAAGCTTGATCAAACATTGTCATTGAGTATTATATATACCTATATATACTACCAGTATTACGCTGCGATGCGTCTCTTTTTTTTAGTTTTTTGTTGTTTTTTATGACACCCACTGTGGCGTCAATTATAAAGATATTTAAGTACAGTTACCTAGCAATTAGACAGGGACTTAAAACTTGCACACATGCCACGAACCAAATCCCTGAGGTTTCACATATAAATTACGGCCATTGATAGTCGGTCATATGACAATTAGTTGTAAATTAAGACCATGTCGGCGGCAAGTGCATAAAGCTTAATAACGAAGCTTAAAATGTCCCACTACCAAAATGGCTGACAAAAAATGTGATTTGTGTCGGTCTCCTTTGGACTTTTTGTGTGGGCCTGGCAACAAAGTTTGTACAGTTTTCCCACTTCTCTCTCTCGCCCCATCTGTGTTCACTTCAGTTATGCAAATAAGCCACGTTTAATTATGACCATTAGCCACTGTTGAGCGGCTACCGTTTTGAGTCAATACAATACAAAAACGACTGCCGATGGCTTTTCGAACTTTTTCTTAAGCATTTTAAAGTTGATTTAAGTTGGGCTTCGGGGCGGCATACATTTAAGATTCGCTTTGTTGTGCAAATGGTAGGCGCAACGGTGACAACTCAATGACGATAATGGTCATTAATGACCACTTTATTGACGCAATCCATTGACCGAATTGTGATATACCGAATTTAGAGTGACTCATCATGCTGATTCGGATAAGGTGAGGCACCTTTATTTTTTGAAGGGGGACCATGATTACATTTGAGATAATGAATTTAGTTGGTTACTTTTGAAAAGATTTGGTCAGATACGTTTTAGCAATTGAGTATAATTTTGATATTCATGAATGTTATGTGTACGAAACTTTAAAGATAATTGTATTTGTTTCAGAAAATTTCCATTAAACAGTAAGTAAGAATATGTTATCAAAATATGTGTGTATTACCAGTCAAAGATGTGAAATATGTAAGAAATACGTTGTTTTTAAAGGAATTCGAGGAATCTTTATAAAACTGAGAAACTGAGCATGCAAAAACTTAAGCATATTTATGTGTTTATATTTTTACTCGAGTTTTTCGCTGTGTATCATATCTTGAAAATGATATCAAATTATTTTCAGTCATAATACCGTAGAAATGCCCCATTACTATTATTAAACATTGACCCATTCAACACTATATCAAACGATTACTTTCCCGCTTTTTTACATTTAAAATGAATAATCCCGGAAGAGGCGCAACGTCCGGACTCTGTTTGACGTAAAGCGCTGCCCTTAGTAATAAGTTGAGTTATCAATCTCATTCATCATTTTGCCGTAGCTGGCTAATCAATGTCAGTGAGCAAAACAGGGGTGACACAATGTCTATAAGGAAACAAAAAGTATCATTTCATTATAATTGAATCACTTTACAAGCGACACACAATTTTCGTGAAATTGCTGAGCTATCAATGACTGACATAATATGATATTAAAGTGCTACACCTAATTGGAAACCGAAATATAACTCAAGTCGGGCAGGTAAACAGATTTGTCATACTTCTCACATATATATGTATATAAATGTATATACATTTTCTGGAAGGAGGCCTGTTCTGCTTTCGGTGGTCTCCGGACAATCAGCGCACTTAAATCAAATAGAAATGGTTTCGGCACTTTTAGCGATTTCCAAAGTGAGTTGATAAATGCAATTGCTGCTAATAATACATGCTATATACGGGGTTATATACGACATTTCGGTTGCCTTGTATTCGTAACATGTTATTTATAACGAGGCATGCCCACTGCCTTGGTTGCCTTGGTAAATCAACGTCTTTGATTAGAGCTTAATACATCTTGATAGGTAGCGGTGGCAAATTGATAAATCAAATATTTGTACTATTATAACCAGCGTGGCATCGGCATAGCTCGTTGGGCTTATCATGGAAAACCAATCTACTCTATGAAAACGCAAGTTAATTGCTGGATTTGCCCACACTCAAGTGACCATTTCCGTGCAGTAGTTTTCCTAAAGCGCGACGCGTTTTTAAACGCGCGCAAAACGCGTTCATGTTCAACTTCAACTTCAGGTTCAGCTTTGGATCTTCACCGCATCCGCAGATGTTTACCCATTAGCGTTTTTGGGCGACTAAAATGTTTGCGCTGTGGCGTCGCCATCGTCTGCCTTTTGATGGGCATAGCGGGTTTATGGGGGAGCGAGGGGGGGAGGCTGTTGAGGGTGCGGAGTTCGCAGCATAAAATCATTTTCTCTAAGCATTTTTGGCATTTGTTTACCTTTGAATTATTGCAAATGTAAGTACAGACGTCGTACAGTCGAACAGCGTAAGTGCGGTAGCTTCACTATTCGCGCCGAGTGTGTGGACAATGATTGTCGGACTTTAAAGCAGAGTGGTTGCCACTGGCGCCACAGCGCCCCACATTGTGCCCCGCACGTAAATTCATTGAAATTCCCTTTTAATGGAGATTAATGCGCATAGAGGCGCCCCCTTGATGTTGATTTTGCTAAATGTTTTCGAAAAACTATTTGTACTCCTATTTATTTAGACATTTTTGTTTTGTTTTGTTTTTTTTTCGCATTTTTTATTACAGTCGGGCTAATTAAGAACGTGGGAAAGTGCAGAGATTGTCATAACTACTTAGTGACTACGTGACGTATACGTAATTTGTAGCTGAGAGCAGTTGAAATTTAGGTCAGTTCATTAGATGTTTCTAAACTAGGATGCTGTCAACCGATTTTCAAAAGTAATAGCCTTTTAGCCATAACATGCCATCAGGGAAATTTCTTATTACAGTGATTGAGGGCTATAGTGATTGAGGGCTATAAACATTGTGCCCTGTGGGATCTCTTGCCCCCTTCCGAGCTTAAATCTCTTCCATCAATCGTAATACTTGAACGAATATCAGAATCTTTGTCGGATTGAGGGTTTCAATGTTCTTCAGGGTTCTACTTTGAACCCGCTGTCGTTGTTGCCTCATTGCTCCCGACTGCCAATGGAGATCCACTTGAAAGCCGACAAATCAAGCGATACTACTTTAACCCACATTTTATTAATGCCCAGCCGAAATAAAACGATTAACAAATAGTGTGGACTAAGAAATGCTTTCGACGCCTAAGAGTATTTCACGTTTATGAGCAAATCAATCAATTTCAATGAAATTTCAATTAGAGTGCTACAAAGTAGAGGACCGATTGATAAGGCAACCAAAGTCTGGCATATGGCGACCACGGAGCGATCACAAACCAATCAAGTTGACCGGAGGGTGGCCATAAAACATAGACCACAATTGAAATTCCGTCCGAGCAGATGAGATTCCGAGTGCTGTTATCGCGGCAGAGACCCTCTCCGCACAGTTTCTGTATGTATAATAAACAATTTTAATATTTTTTAATTATGAAAACAAGTTGATTATATAAATTAAATCGCGGAAGCGATTAGATTACGAGTCTCGAGTGACACTACGACGCTTAAAGTGCAATTTAAACGGCTTTAAACAAATTTCTATAATTTTGTTCTTTTTTTTTTTTGTATACTACTTAGCAATGCTATCGGCTCTGACTAAAAATCGGTGGTGTTTGTTTTGGGGGTCTTGAGAGCGACGAGTCTCGACGACTCTGGCCTGATATGCGGTTTGAATTAATTGAAAATTGATTATTA